GGAAGTCTATGGGGGAGGCCTATGTCCAGCAGTGGACATTGAACGGCTGAATCGATATCAATCCCAGTCACTACACAGTGACTAATAATTGTGAAGTCTTTCACGGCCATCGTTCAGCATATCATTGTCTTTCGGGCGACAAGAGCGAGAAGACGTTCTCGACGTTTCGCCACCACGTGTGGACGGCATCATCAGGAGATGGCAACTCGTCGATTGCTCGAAGAATTAATCAAAACTAAATTAATGAAGTATTTCCTCATAATTATACCTGTTGTATTTATCTAGGTGTTAAGTACTGCCGACGGTATTTTGTAGTAAACGAGAGAGAGAAGTGAAACAGAATTGTAAGTATAAAGCATACAGGTTTATATTAATACCAAAACTTTATTTGTGTACAAAATTGTAAATTCACTTGATGGAAGGTGAGCACAGTTCTAGATCTAAACAAGATGCGCCGTCGATCTATTGTGGCTTTGTATATTTGGAAATCCGCAGATTAAAACCAAAACGCGAACTAACTTCACGGCTTTATGTTTTTTAAGGCGGCTTGTCCATTTAATATCAAAGTTGAGCGTTTCAGAAAAAAATAAAATATTGATTAGAATCATGTAACCGTCGGGGATCGAACGCGCGACCCGATCAATTATTATATAGGTGTAAGCGACATAGCCATATGCTATCCCGCGCAAGACCCGACAACCCAGGTTAAACAATAGTCATGATTTATATATGACATTTTTTATATTATTGCACATGTTGGCATAATATTAATTGTTTTTTTTGGTGCCAGTGGTTTTGGTTAAAGTGCCGCTCGTTTGGAAACATTTTTTCAAGCTAAAATCGATTTTAAGTCAGTCAGTGGTCTGCAGATTAATTAATCTAAGTAAATATCGATCAGTGAAATAACACAGAAGTAGTGCTCTAAACAATTGAGCTACCGTGGCCATGCCGTGGGGATGCCGATGCAATGTGAAAAACATTAAAGTTTTTAAACCTTAAATAGATTCTTAATTTTATAGAAGAATCTAGAAAAAACCCTAAACGTGAACACAGCATAAGGTGGTAAATAAGGTAAGCGCCGAGCGAAAAAATTCTCTCGAAATAAAACACTCTAATCGTCGAGCTGAAGATTTTTTTAATTAAACTTTCTTACGATTCACTCTACTTAAGTGTTTTATTGTTTACTTGTTTGCATTATCGCCCCTCCGAGCATGGCAGAAAGTTTTAGGGTGTGCAATGAAACAAGATCTATTAAATACGTCTTACTAATTAACAAATAGGTACATAGAATGTTAATTACTGAAGACATTTTATGTTTTAATGAATAAAACGACGAATACTTTTATGTACAAGCGTTTATTGAAGAATATAATTAACAATTGATCATATTCTACACATAGATATCTATGTTTAAAGAATTATCATTTAATTAATCAACAATGTAGGTATTTTTGCAACAAAATATCACAAAACGTTTTAATTAGAACCTGTAATTATCGATACAGCGATGCAATTTTGTAAAAACTAAACAATAATGAAGACAGTATTTATGATGAAAGCGTGTACTTAGCAATTTAATGGAAATTGCAGATAGTAATCTAGCTTATTATCTTTGATAGACATCTTGTATCAGTGTGCGTACAGGTGCCGCCATCTAGCATTGGTAATAAGAAATACATGTGCACACTACAGCTATCTAGTGTCAGTTAGTAGAAAATGTATTTCAGCTATGTGGAGCCAGTAGTTGCGACATCTAGTGTCAGGTAGAAAATGAAAATTCGCTTCATTTAAGAGATTTCCTTTACTTTCAATAAAAGACAAGTAAGAGTCGCGCTGAAATTCTTCTTTTGTAATTTGGAAAAATACCCTCGTTTTAGGACCCAAAGTCTAGAAGATACATAAAAGCTAGACTAAAAAATCAGCCTTTATTCGTATTTTTAGTCTTTATTCTAGTAAGTACCTATGAATTGACTGAACGAGTAATTTAGTAGGAACGTTTAGAAAATACAAATAAAATAACGTACTTATGCCCTATTATATAGTTCAACGTCACTTAACATAGCAATGTTTAAAATGATAATATATTGTTTATGTTGCCATCTATGTGACTATAATGGAATCACGTTGTTTTTGTGTGTTGTCTCACATATGTTGAACACATGAAATGTCAATGCCTGTTCAGAGGTGGCGCTGACCTCAAAATATTGATGACAAAATATTGTGACTTGTGCATTTTAATTTTACTTACAATAAGGACACACTTACTATTAAAATGAATATTTCTATTATTACAAGTCAGTAAAATCAACTACAATAAATTAAATTCGTTTAAAACAAAAAGGATCAATATTAAATGCCTGATGGTTTGATCGAAATCAAACATGTTTACATATCGACGCCCCCGAGCAATAACCCAGTAATAGCACATTACTGGAATTTTTTTTTATTGCAAATTTGAAATCTGTGGGCCATAACTCATGTATGTATTTTTTTTTGGATTTTTTCTATGGATAATTACCGAAATATGACTATTGAAAGTTTTATTGCACGGAATTTCAGTTTGATTTTTATACGACAAAAATAAAATTACATACTGTAACTTTTTAAATTTTATGACTGATAATTGGTATTATAGTAATACCGTAAAATAATTCATGTTACGTTTTGGTTTTTGCCATTACAAGATTATTGCAGTAAAATAAGAAGCAGGCCTTTTCAGCAATAGTTAGTAACATTATTCATAAAGATTGAAATACAGAAATAACAAGACAAGTTAAGATAGAAAATATTATAGAATGGCCCTACAACGCAAAAATAATCGTACTCGAACGATCAGATTTTTATTTTTTATGGGATGGTGCAGAACTTGCTGTTTGTAAGAGACTATGATTTATACTGCTATTGAAAAGGCTCAGTCAGATAAAGGTTTAAATCATAACAGGAAGAAAAATACAAATAGAATTCGGAAAATGAGCATTGATACAGAAACGAGTATCGTAATACGTATTAAATTATTCCTAACACTAGAGTCACATTTTACAAGAAAATGATCTAGTATTCAATACCTTTCAGAAAATATTAATATATCAAAATTATACCGTTTGTACACCGACTGGTATGTACAATAAAACTACAGGAATGTCACCGTGGCAACTAAACGGCAGTAAAAAAATATTTTTAATATTCAAATTTAACTACTCCTTTTTTAAACCCAAAAAAGATCAGTGCGCTACTTGCGTCTTATATGAGCAAGCTACTCCCTCAAAAAAAGAAGAGTTTGAAGAGAATTTCATACGCCATATTCAAATAAAATAAAGGATTAGGCAAATTAAAAACGGGGAAAAGGATATTTTCGACCAAAATAGAGGACAGTAGTGATATTTGACCTACAAAAGGTCTTTAACATTGCACAATGTAATGTAGGGATTTTTGATCACAAACGGAAGTGTCCTGTTTACAATTTTACGGTATTTGACGCTTTACGTAAAAAAAGTTACTGCTATGTGTGGCATTATCGTGTGGCGAAAAGGCTGTACGGAAATTAGTAGTTGTTTGTTAATGTTCTTAAATTCTGAACGTGAAAAGGGAATAAGCACAGTATCATTCTACTCTGATGGGTGCTATGGGCAAAATAAAAATAAATACATTTTTGCCTTATATGTCTTTGCCGCACAAAACTACAACTGTCCATAACGCAAAGATTTTTTGAAACAGGGCATAGCCAAAATCAAGGTTATTCAATGCACCCTTGCATCGAACGCAATATAAAAAATAAAGTTATATATACTCTAGAACAAATGTATAATATTGTATTAAATTCAAGAGTTACCGAAAAAAATACACTATCACAGAAATTGACCAATCGGATATTTTAAATATTAAAAAGTTAGTCCTGCACATGGGTGTCGGGATACTATTGAAAATATCATCCGTTGACCTGACGTCATGGATGTTCACGTAACGCCATCACAACCAGGAAAGCTTTTTTCCGATACGATATAGATGGAGGGTATTTGGAGTTAGACACCGTACACTCAACCCAAACTAGACGACGGGGACGAAGATGTAAACCTGGCTCAACGACTGAAAATATAGCTCTAGTATCGGCAAACTATTCCAATAAGCAAAGCACTCAACACAGGCTTAATATATTTATTCAATAGTGGAGCAAATTGCAAAATATTACCATAATTTTTACGTTGACGTATTCTGAGGAGAAAACTAATATAATTACTGAAGAAACCTCAAATTATGACTGATTACAATTAATTTTATTGTCACATTATAGTTTCTTTTATCTGATTTTAATTAGACCTAAAGTTCATTCGATGCGTATTTGTTTTTCTTTAATAAATGTCTTGTTTTTGTATAAATTCTCTATAGTTTTGATTATTTTATCAACTTGACTAGGTTTTATGATTTAACAGTATAGGAAGAATACATTTCAAATTCAAAAAAGTGCTTTCTGGTACTAAGTTCATACTATTTAGAGACGGTTTACATTGAACGACAATAAGACAGTTATAGAACTTTACATTTACGCTCTGCAATAAAAAACTTGCTTAGATGAGCAAGTAAATGGCTATTATTGTACTATTCTGTTTTAGAATATACCGCAATAATCTCGTAAGTTGATATTACTAATTTCATCTTTATAAATCAGTAAGGTAAGATAAAATTACAGTTAAAATATTACAAAATAATTTTACGTAATATATACTTTTATGTAATACATAAATGTTTGTATATATAATGAAATCTTTACGAAATGTGGCTATTCTATAAAAAAATACCTTTCATTTGGTATATTTAACATGAAACAAGAATGATTCATTGAAAAGATATAGCTAAAAAACACTAAATTTGCTCTCCTGAAAAATTTGACTTTTGCAATTACTGGGTTATTGCTCGGGGGCGTCGATATGTGTGTACACCCAACGCACAAAACGATGAAAGAAATGTAGTTCTTCTAGTTGCGTCTGAGAAGTTGCGCGCGCATCATGTCCAAGGTTAGACTAATTTTGTTTTGACTTAGAACGAGGAAAGACATATTAAGTAGGTTCTCCCTCTTAGATTCCAACTAATATATTATACTGACGTAAATACCCTAATAACATTAGTTGAAAAAAGTTTTATTACGTATTTCTTTTTATTATATATTATAATACAAAAGTGCATTTACTGCGTTATAGGATTTTTAAATATTTTGACCTGAAAAGTTACATAAAATGTTTACAGAATTTTTATTTAATAATTTTCTATCAATTTTGTACTATTATTAAGCTCGTTTTAAAACAACAATATTCATTGAATTGTTTTATTGGAATAACGTAATGTAAATTGTAATATTTAAACATTTACGAATACAAAGCGGAAACAGATGTTTCTATTACTAATGTAAGTACCTAATTAGTTCAATTATCACAAGTAGGGTATTTATAGTAACTTGTTATGTAAATTATCTTTCATCTTGTCTATCTGATACCATTTGTAGCACGACCTTTGAGCCTAATATTGACACGGCCTTGTAAACTTGATAATCCATATCTTATTTATGTTTGTAACAGTCGAGCGCTTTCTATTTATAAATTAGACAGATAGGATATTAAAAAACTTTATAAGTTGTTATTGAACAGCGACTTGAGGATAGTTGTGCACACAATGGCATTTCAAACCTAAATTAAAAATCTAATCATATTGAAAAAAAAATTACGGCACTGGTGCGACTCGTACCGGCGTCCGGTACGGGTATCGTACCCATATCAAATGTTTACTGTAACTGTTTAATAAAATACGTTACAAATACTAGCGATATTTTTCTTCAGGAACATCAATATAAAACATTAGAACATGTGTAACAAACCGCGTGCAATTAAAATCACTGGCCTTTTTTACCTACAATAAACCAACAATCCAAATATTTGTAAAAACATAGCTAGTCCAATTCTTATTACAGGTAAAAATTCCAAACTTCAAACTCAATAATGGATTGGAGATTCCGGCCCTGGGCTACGGTACTTGGTTGGGAGTTAATGATAAGGTAGGTCTATATCTATATATAGATAGACAAGCGCTCTTCACTTGATGGTAGTGTCGACCAATTTTGATTTTGGATATTCGGAAATCCACAGACCTAAACGCTATTTAACTTCACGGCTTTTCATCTGTGGACGATGCTTCGTGACCCGGATGGAATTTCGATATTTCTACGACTAATTTAATATCCAGATTTCCAGATACAAACGTGTTTCAGAAAAAAAATATTTTTTTTTGGGGTCGATGGGGATCGAAGTCACGATGTACTGCTAATTATCAATAATTATTAGCAATACATTGCTAACGTTTATGCCTATTATGAGCGCTGTCTAACCGACGAACAATAGGGTTTTGCTGAGAATCAGTTTTGTAGCATGACTGTGCTGCAACTTATGCTGACACAAGACCCTTTTAGCATCACTTTTCTTATTTTTTTTTAAATCATCTTATATAGTTTATAGCCTAAAGCTTTCCTCGATAACTCAACACAGTCTAAGTACAGCACAACACACTCTAGGTAACACAACATAATTTTCGCCTCCTGAGATTAGCGCGTTTAAACAAACAAACTCTTCATCTTTACATATTAGTATAGATAAGTTGGCTTTAAGACCTTAACTTTCCAAATTTGATGGATTCTAACACGACGTAGATTTCAAAGTTTTTACTTTAATATAACAAAATATGATTTCTAGATAGAATTTAGAATAGAAGACGCACCAAAGCTAGTGGAAGCGATGTTGTATGCTATCGACCTCGGCTATAGACACTTTGACACGGCCCACCTGTATCGTGTGGAACCAGAAGTCGGTTTCGCTGTTAGGAAGAAGATTGAGGAGGGCGTGGTGAAACGGGAAGATATTTTTGTAACTACCAAGGTGAGGTATTTTTACATGAGTTTTCAGCAATATTTTATTGAAACAATTTTACTACACGGGCAGGATTCGAAGCGGCATCTACAGCGATCCGTGCTGTTGCTCTAATTGAGCTACCATGTCCTCTCGCGCATTCTAATTTCAGCCTTAATACTTGCTTTTTAGGTTCAATTTTCCTTTAAAAAATCATTGAAGATGTATGTAATTAAAGAGTTTATTTTTTTAGTTTAATTGTAATATTTCAGATCTGGCAACACAACCACCGTTTGGCTGATGCTGAAGCCTCTGTCCGCGCGTCTCTGAGGAGGATGGGTTTGGATTATATTGATCTTGTCGTCATCCATTGGCCAATGGCGATAAATGTAAGACTACCCTCATATCTCCTTCTATATAATATCTATACTTAATAAAGTAAGTAAGAAAAAAGGCACATGAATTTACCAGGATATCAAGTTGGTAAACAAAGAGTTTAAATTACTGTAATCGTGGGTTTGAGTCCTACTAGTGTTGTGTAAATTTCAATCTAAAATAGGTTTTAACTTTTACAATTATATTACAATACAATACGCTTCGCGAAGTAGTCACAATGTTGAGCGACCGCTAGAGGTTCGACTCTCGGAAAAACAATAAATCGACCGTAAGTCGGGGGTGTCTAATTACTTGCCTGTATATAAAATTAACTAATAAAAGTGGCATACTAATGCCAGTTTTTTTATTTGTCTGTCCCAATTTTTATAACGAGATTTCACACCCCTTTTAACTCTCGATACAGAAACAAATTTTTTTTTAAATAATATTTGATAGATTTGAAAATTTTAATTATTGCACTAATGTGCAACTATATAAAGAATTAAAAATCGATTATAAATTCAAAAACACTTACGACATGATCTGGACTTGAAACAGCATCCACAGGGTTCTGTGCCGTTGCTCTAACTAATTGAGCTACCGTGTCCTCGTCTCGTCTCGTTATCGTCGAATTTCTGCAATCCATTGATACATGCACCTCTCACACTACAGCACGGAATGCTGTGGATGCCGGATCAAGTCCTGATCGTGTCGTAAAAAGGTTTTCAATCCAAAATCGATTTTTAATTTATATTAAATATGACATATTTATCATCTGTATCTGAAACTATTCCAGGAAGACGGCATTGACGAAAAAATTGACTACTTGGAAACATATCGCGGTCTGGAGAACGCTTACAACGCGGGTCTTGTGAAAGCCATCGGCGTCTCCAATTTTAACGTGGAACAAATGAGACGCTTGCTTGCCAACTGTACCATCAGGCCAGCTGTCAACCAAATACAGGTCATTTATTATGTAGTTTTAAAGTAAAGTAACGAACTTTCAAACATTTTCTGCCTGTTTGGAATTCAATTTTTTTATGGTATTTCAAGTTCGCCCTCTATCTGGCGTAACGAGGAGACACAATTTTGAATCTATTTTATTTGTCGATTTACAAGTCTACTTGGGTATCGAATAATATTATTTTAAATTAGATCCTTATACTTAATACTTACTTACTTATAGATTTATATAAAGTAGGTATTACTAGGCGTCAAGTTTTAACTTCTGTGTTGGTAAATGATCGAACGTGATGCCTAGCATTGCGGTAAGCGGAATCCTACGAAGACGATAAATTGTATCGGTCAAGCACAGTGTAACGGACAAAGAAATGTGTTCGCCATGGGGCATGGGCCCCGCGGAGGGGAAATAGGATTTTACTAGTTACGATTTCAATAGTTGAAACATTAAGCAGTTGTTTTTATAATTATAGGTCAATCTTAATCTTCTCGAAAAAGATTTGGTGTCGCTGTGCCAAGCTGAGGATGTTTTGGTCGTCTCTTATTCATCTTTCGGGGGGATGACCAAAGCCTACGATAAGACCTCGCCGGAACCGAAAATAGACAATCCCATCATGACAAGAATGGCGAACAAGTATGGAAAGAGTGTTACTCAACTTGTGTTGAGATTTTTGGTCAGTATTATAATAATTTAATTAAATAACAAATAACAAACCTTTTTTTAATCTTTCCTCTTTAGAAAAATGCATTCTAAATTTAATTTATCAAATTAAGAAAAGAGCTATCGTTCTGTATTCAAATGTAATTTGAAATACAAATTTAAAATGTACTTTCGTTCCGGTTACATGCCTGTTTTAGGTTTATGAAAATAAATAAAACACGAGCTAGTGTCAAACCCATGACAAAAGTGTACTGTGATTTCAATAGATCAATTTGCTTTCTTAATATATCGACTGTTATAATTTGTGTAATAGACATAAAATTTATAATCTGTATGCAAAATTATACTGTAAATAAATAGATATCCTTTTGATCATTGGAGATAAGAAATAGTTCTCATAATAGATAAACAGCGAAAAATGTATTATAAATTAATTCATATAACTATGGTGAAGATGGTAAACGGTGTATTATTTTTTCAGTATCAAAAACGAATTGCTACCATCCCCAAATCTCTAACCAAAAGTCGTATTCTGGAAAACGCATCCATCTTTGACTTTGACATTGACAGCGAAGATGTTGCCACACTAGAAAAATTCGATTGCGGCTACCGTTCGGACCGTCCTATATTCTGGCAAGACTACACACACTACCCCTTCGAGAAAATCGAGAATGTTCCCAGTATGGAAATACCGTTAGCGCTGCGAAAGTGGAAAAATGGCGCCAACCTTGATATTGATTAAATGTTAGAAATATGTATAAGAAATAAAACAACTAATAACCATATTTGTTTGTTAAGATTATAATACACTAGCTGATCTGGCAAACGTTTGTTTTTTAAATCCTTTTGAGTTAATCTTCAAAAATAGACATCAATTGGAGTCTTCGCAGAGCACGCATCGCAAACCCTCAAATATTAATATTATTTTCCGTTTTTTTCACACATTTTCCACCATTTTTTCGCTCTCTTAGAGTCGCAGCTTGATTTTATAGCCTTAAGCCAAAGGCCAAGCAACACGAAAATATTTTTTCATTTGAACCAGTAGTTGATGAAAGCTGAAGAGTTTGTTCGTTTGTATGTTTGAACGCGCTAATCTCAGGAACTACTTGGTTCGAATTAAAAAAATATTTTTGTGTTGGTTAGAGTATTTATCGAGGAAGGCTATGCAAGAAGGACGAGAAGAAACGCGGCCGACGTCGAGGGTAACAGAATTGCATTAACGAATTTTAATGGCCAAAATAACTATGTTCGCGAACGTAATCGCTGACTACACCTAGTCGCTATCACTGACACAGCTAGTAGTAGATGTATTTGATATAGTTGTGCCCTAAACATGTGAACAAACTTTCAAGGTTGGCCCGTTCACTTCCTCAAGAACATAGGAAGTACCACAGTTGTATTCCAGCCAACATGATTATAACAAGTGCCATTTTAACATTTTTAATTAATTACGCAGTGAGTTATTATTGATATAATATAATCCAATTTTACAATTAGTATTTATTAACGGTGTATTGTCAAATAGATGTCGGATAAAATGGATGGTGCGAAGGCCCCGAGAATTCGTCTAAACGACGGAAATCTTATGCCTGTGTTGGGATTGGGCACGTTTTTAGGTTTCGACGAAGTAAGTTTAATTATTATTGTTATAAAATTCTGAAAATTACATAATGAATTCCAATGGTAGCCATTACCTTAGGCTATCATAATTTTGAAATTAAATATCATTTTAAAAGCGTTGTATTTTTAATTCGTTGTATAAAACTTAAATACTATCTATAATTTACGCGAGTAGTAGACATTTAAATACAACACTTTGACGGTTCAGAACGCGATGTATTAGTTAAAGTTAAGTCTCGTGACCACGGCTGCGGCAAAGCATCCGAAACGTCGGGCCGAATAAAAATCATTTTCAAATAAGTTTAACTAATATATCGCGTTTTAAATCGTTAAAGTGTTTTATTTAAATTTATAAAACTTGTTTAATATATTAGTAGTTTTTAAATAATATTAATAGATTCTATTTGTCATTCATGCAAGTAGTACATGGTTTAACGGTTTAAAACGCGTATTACATTTTACATACACACAAATTACTTAGTTAACATATTGGATTTTTACTTTAACCTTGGCTGCCGAAAAGCATCCCTTACATGGGTCCGTACCTATATTTAATATCTTTAGCGTTTTAAACCGTTAAGTGTGTTTTGCTGATAAGTTGATATTATAGTATTTTATGGACTCACGATATTTCATTACTTATATATGCGTAATTCGTAAATAAGAAGTTTTCGTATGTGCTAACATTTTTTTTATAGAATGGACAGAAAGAGACAAAAGATGGCGAGGTAGAAGTACCTGTAACATGGGCCCTTAATGCTGGTTACAGGTAAGATGAACATATAAATCGGATTTACTTAAGGTGAAATTCGATTTCGATATTCCTTCCATCGTAAGTCGTGTTATTTATATATTATTGACAGTAGGATAAGCTGTCGATCTATTTGGCTTTGTATACTTGGTGTACGGGGTGAAGTTCCATCTGGGTACTGGACGGAATTTCCATATGCCATCATAAGTCCACATTAACAAAGATTAAGATATGTTGTGATAGACTCCCGATTCACTTCAGCAGACTTACTTCCACGTCCCCGCTAAATGTACGCGTACTAACAACTAATTCTTTGTCTCAACTAGAAGTGACATTGGCAAACGTATCCACAAAATGGTTTCATTGCATAATAACGCGTTGAATGATGTTGATTTGTTTGCTCGCAATTCACGTTTAAATATAGGATAAAAAACGGTTTTTGTTATATTGTGGACGACAGTGTTTCTCGCCTCAAAGCTTTTTTTTTAATTTTTAAATCAAATGTTTTAAGTGAAACTTGTAGTCTCTAAGTACATGCCTACATACTTTTAGATTACTATAAGATTTCTTTTTTCTAGATAATAAGAATATTTGTTTGAACGTATCATAAGAGACAGGACTGTTTAGTTTCTTAAGTGAATAAAGAAATAAATAAAACTCAAAATAATCGAATCGAATCGACCTTACGTTATACAGATGCACCAATAAATAACAGGCCGTCAAAGATCCAAACTCTATTGCTTTTTGTGTTCATGGAAAATTTCACAGAATGATAGACACCGCATCCGCATACAAAAGCGAAGATCAAGTCGGTAAGGGAATAGCGAAGTCCGGTGTGGCGAGAGAAAATGTTTTTATCGTCACTAAGGTGAGAATTTTCGTCTCTTGCTACAAAAAAAAATTGTTTCTTAAAATAAACTTTGCATGATTGCTTTCGCAAGGTCAAGCGAATATGTATTTACTTATTAACTGCTGATCCGTCAAATGTTGTTTTGTTGTTTGCAAGATTAGTATGTTGATACAACTGTAACAAAATATTGGTAATAATGACTCTATATAAATTATAAATTGAAAATATTTAAGACACGGTAGCTAAATTTATTAGAGCAACAGCACGGAACGCATTGGATGCCGGTTCAAAATTTACCCGTGTTGTAAATCGTTCATTTATAATCGATTTTTAATGAAAATATTATTTTTAGCTTGGTCTCCACGAACAGCGCACTGTAGTGGACTCACTTAAGAAATCTCTTCAACGGCTTAACACCTCTTATGTGGACTTGTATTTGATTCATAATCCAGTGGCGTTGAAGGTAACTAAATATATTAGCTAAATGGTGGTGTCGACTAGCATTTTAAACGCGAGAAAGAACTCCGGTATTGCAAAATAGAACCTATCAGTGAATCAGACACAGACAAGTGTACGCCCCATGGGGAAACGGAAAAAAAAAATGTAACGGTTTAAAACGCAATATATATATTAGTGAAGTTTAATTGAGTTTTCTCGTTACCATGGCTGCTGCAAAGCATCCGAAACGTCGGGCCGTGGCTAAAATAGTTTTCGAATAAGTTAATATGTATCGAGTTTAAAACCGTTAAATTTGTTTTTAAACAAATGTACTTGTTTGCGTACATATTTTATTTAATATTGTCTGTCGTTACGTGTTATATCATTAAATTATACATTTTTTTCATTTAACCGTTTCTCTTTAGCCAGATCACAGTGGTTTTGATGTCATAGATTATCTAGATACGTGGAAGGGGATGGAGGAAGCTAAAAGGCTTGGTCTAGCTAGATCCATTGGTATATCAAACTTCAATATTAGCCAGATGGAGAGACTGTTAAAAAACTGTGAAATACGTCCAGCTGTGTTACAAGTGGAGGTATAAAAACATAAATCAATATTTAAAGAATTAAAATGCTGGGATTTGAAAGAAGGCGGTCTAAAAAGACGAAAACCTGAAAAAGGAGCATTTCGTCGAAAAAGGAGCCGTAATAGTACCTACTTAGTAACATGACAAATGGTCGTCGACCGTCGTTCTAACGCCATCGGCACCAATATTTTTCTGAAACAAGTTGGACTTCTGGCTATAGTTTACGCGAGTACACATTTAAATAAGACACTTTAACGGTTTAAAACGCGATATATTAGCTAAACTTATTTGGAAATGATTTTTAACTTCGGCCCGACGTTTCGGATGCTTTGCAGCAGCCGTGGTCGCGTGGTGAAGTTAAAAATCATTTTCAAATAATTTTAACTAATATATCGCGTTTTAAACCATTAAAGTGGTTTTATTTAAATGTTGGACTTCGTTTGGAAATCTGGATATTAAACGGGTGGTATGAATATCGAAATTCCGTCCGGGTCAACCACCGTCCACAAATGAAAAAGCCGTCGAGTTTAATCGCGTTTCGGTTTCAGTTTCATTTTACAGTCTTCACGTATGTACTTTGATGGTAGTGGAGAATAAAAAGCATAAGTCACTCGATGGTACATATGTGACATATCTCAGTCACATTTCATATTTTGTCTTTGGATATTCGAAAATCCACAGATTGAGCAGAAAGACGAATTAACATTACACAACATTTTTATCTGTGGACGGTGAATCTATGTATCGGGATTTTTTTTCTTCAGACTCATCTTATTAAGTTTACATTTTTAGCAGGTTTAATGTTGTTCTGAAATTGCCGTTTGATTGACGAAATAATTACTCGCCTTTCAAGATTTATTTATTTTAACTGAATCTTCTGTTTCAGGTGAATCTTAACTTAGCTCAACATAAAATTCATGAATACACGAAACGTGAAGGTTTAGCCCTAATGGCTTACACTCCGTTTGGTTCTCTTTTCGATAAAACTGGAGTCCCCCCACCCCCAAGGGTAAACGACCCAATTATGGTAAAGATTGCGACGCGCCACAAGAAAACCGTTCCACAAATAACACTTAGATATTTGGTATGTGTTGAAAACGTATTTACAGCTTTAAATAGAACTCTGTTAACGGTTTTAAACAATGAATATTTATTTACAATTTATTTAACTACCTCCCAACGGACGCTTTGCAGCATCTGTAATCACAGAAGAACATAATATATTTCGTTTTAAACCGTTAAAAGTTTATAATAGTGTCCTACTCGTGTAAACTGACAATACGTATTTACTGGTTATTCGTTAATAACTCCTTTCTTTCTTTTATCTTTTCAGGTACAAAGAGGTATCGTGCCTATACCAAAATCTGTGCGAAAGGAGAAAATAGAAGAAAACATTGATATATTTGATTTTGAACTAACAGAAAACGACATGGTCGAACTATGTAAGTTTTATTTAAAGCATATTTTATGAGTTTATAATATTTTCGTGATACTCACGGAAATCAAATTCACGACCAACAGCGTACGATGCTATTGCCAAATAAGCTACAGTGACGATCTAAAACGAAATTTAAATTTCGAATATTAATACGCAAGTGTTAAGGTTGAAATTACAATGCGTGAGAGGTGTATCTATCAATAGGTTCTACTAACTCGACATTGACGTGTAGGTCACGGTAGCGCAAATGGTTAGAGAAACAGCTCGGAACGGTGTGGTACAGGTTCAAATCCCGCCCGTGACGTTTTTATTTTAATATAATCGATTTTTATTTTTTAATAAACCTTTTATGTATATGAGGTATTTTTTTAGATAATTTCAACAAAGACTACCGCGTAGTCTGGCCAAGTTTCTGGCAGGACCATCCATATTATCCGTTCGAAAAGAAGGATACGCCAGACGATGACTTGTTTAAGCCGAAACCTAAAGAGTGATTGGTAAAAAAGAAAAATACTCCAGGAAACATTGTAGAATGCATTTAATCTTAAATTCGAGATTACAGTTAAAATTAAAAACATAATTTCAAAAATGCTTTATTTGATATAGTGGGCCGTGAACAAATCATACAATCGTCATTATTAATAGTTTATTATTTCAATAAATATGTACAAACTTATTAAAATAATACTGGATTGTATGGTGAAAAATGTTTTTTTTAAATATACTTTTATTAGCCACCTCAACGTCGGCTAATACACATAAATATAGTTAAAAGTACATTTATTTGATAAATTGATCGATGTCAGATGATGGGGAAAATTTTCAGAGCGTTGGAGTAATACGTGAAAAACCGATGTTTAACAAGACCATGAGCATTAACGACCAAGAACGATAGTAATTTTAGTATTATCTGTAGTGTGTTCGAAACGTGTACATACAGAACAATTTAACGGTTTAAAACGCAAAATATATTCGAACAAAGATTCAAAATATCATCATTTCCGTGACCGCTACGTCGTCGCGTTATAAATATTATTTTTTAATATTTCGCGTTCTAAACCGTTTTTTTATAAAACATATGTTCAAAACCTTGTTTTGTTCCGTATTACTCCCCTTTCTATTTGCGTTTATTTGTATTCAATAAATTCGGTGTGGAGTTCGTCAACGGGGTCATCCACGCACTTGACGTTAGCTTCAAAGTCACATTCTTGTTTCTCCTCGTTGAAGAACAAGCCATCGGTACAGTATGATGCATGAGGGGAACCGGCAGTACAGCTCCAGTACCGCTGACAATCACCTCTGAAAATTTGTTCAGCCATTAATTTACTTACTGAAAATCAGTTTCAGGTCAATAAAGGACCGATAAATATAAGCTGGGTAGATCCTATTCTAACTGGCAGCACACAACATTATTGAGATATATATGATTATAAGATTCAATTATGTTTAATTTTAATGTTTAGTATTAGGTAAGTCTTATGCCGGCTCCAGACTCTCGCAAGGCGCCTCCTAGAGGCTCTCGCCACGAGTCTTGGCAAGCGGAGACTGCACGAGTGCTAGTCATCCACACTCTTCATTTTATTTAGTTAGTCGTTACGTCTAGTGCAAGATGTACGGCAGCAGTCAACAAATAAGTTAGCGAGCGGGAGAGTGTGGTTGACGCCTCGCCTCACGCTCTCGCGTCCTTTGACTCGCGCTCGAAATACCGACAGAAAGCGGAGCGCTAGAGAGGCGAGGCGAGGGGACTCGAGCGCACCGTCCACAGTCCACACTCTCGCACTCGCGTTCCCTCGTATCGCCTCGTAGAAAGTGTGGATCGGCCATTACATGTTTTTGTGTGACTTATAGTAGTAGTAAATGAATTTATGTCTCTATTTATTTACTTTAACGGTTTAAAACGCGATATATTAGCCGTGACCACGGCTGCTGCAAAGCATCCGAAACGTCGGGCCGAAGTTAAAAATCATTTTCAAATCAGTTTAACTAATATATCGCGTTTTAAACCGTTAAAGTGTTTTATTTAAATGTGTACTACTCGCGTAAGCTATAGACAGTCTCTATTTATTTCTAATACTAAACCGGTTGTATGGCTAATAATCAACACATCGTGCGATCACCACCACGCCCAAAATGTTTCTAATCAATGTACAATTTCACCATCGTCCACAGATTAAAAACAGTGAAGTTTTATTGCGTTTCGCTTAGTCTGTGGATTTCCGAACATACAAAGACAAATAGATTGACAGTTCTTGTACAGATGTTATATGGCTGAGGTGTTTTACCTACCATCACGTAAATCTTATGCTTGTTTGTCCCCCTTTTTCATAAAAAAATATTGAAAGAATTTGCCTGCCAGTAAATACTTGTAACTCTCTTTACTTACGTACTTTATATTGTAACTCTTTATATAACATTGAATATCCATTACGTCATAAAAACCTATTAATGTCCCACAGTTGTGAACAGGTCTCTTCGCCCATAGGTAGAGGGTTTATAAGCAAGACTCAACGCGAGGGTTTTCGGCTTTAACTTCTGACACAGTCAAGTGTACTAATCCAAGAAAGCAGTTTGCTTTACTTACTTGAATCCAATTCTACGAGAAGCTCCGTCTATACTTTGACAGTTGAGATGTCCGCTCATTAAAACTTCAGAGGAGAAGGGTCTTGGGCGGCCGATGTTTACTAAAAGTAAATTGTATCTATACTAATATCATAAAGCTAAAGGGTTTGTTTGTTACAGGAAATACTGGTTCGAATTGAAAAAGTTATTTGTTTTGTTTATCGAGGAAGGCTTTAAGCTATACATTAGTTTGTGGTCAATAGGGGCGAAGTAACATGGAGGTAATGCATAATAATCGATTCCAACATCTTTCGACATATATTTTTGTTCGTCTTCGTCTGGAAATCTGGATAATTAATGGGCGAATTGAATATCGAAATTTCGTTCGGTTCACGAACCATCGTCCGCAAACGACAAGCCGTAAGCACGTTTCGTTTTCAGTCTGTGGATTTCCAAACATGAATAAAAAAAACTTACCGCCACCGGGTACATCTATGTCTTCTTCACCAGATCCTTCTTCGATGTCGTCGTCCCTTTTCGTCCTGAGGTAGCATTTAGTAGCCCATGGCCAGTTGCATACCTAAAAATACCGAACATAGACTTAAGTATTAAAAAAAAAAATACTGTGATATATTGTTGGCGTATTATAAAATATTAGATCGTTAAATCTTACACCTTATTGACTTGTAAGAGCTAGAGTCTAGATAGTTGAAATTTCACAAATCATTATATTATTTACTAGCTCTGCCCACGACGTTAAAGTGTTTTATTTAAATATCAAGTTTGTGTACATTGTCAATGGAATTGAAGTATTCGTGCGTAATTCTCGACTCACACTTACTTAGCCGGTATATATAAGAATATCACTTGCCTGGAGGGGGAAATCAAATATGGTGCCTTCTGCGCAAGTAAACTCAACTTCAGCACCATGTGCGCACATGAAGAACTTGTTACAATCCGTGAAATGGGGGAGATGTAGAGTTTGCTGAAAATTGTTAATAAAATATACCAAACAGTCCGAGAAACGGAGTTTACAGTCATGAAAAGGTGTTTAATTGATTGATTGATTGTTGTTGTGCTGAGCACTATACAAACATATAGGTGCATGTATCAATAAGTTGAAAAAAATCGACGATGAGGTGTAGGACTCGGTAGCACTAATGGTAGAACAACAGCACGGAAAATTTTTTCAATTTATTTTCGATTTTTAAATTATATAGTGCCATCATGTGCAATAACATGTAAAAACTAATAAAGTTTTCAAATAATATATTTCGCCCTTGAATCCGTTCAAAGTGTTTTATTTCATTAATTAATTAATAATAATATTAATAACTACAGACAAAAGTTAATTATACGCTCACTTAATAGAGATATGGACTTCATAATTAAAATAAATAATAGTTTTGACTAACTATCTTGGTCTATAGTGTATAAAGATTAATTTAAAAAAATATTTACCCTTCCAGTTGGGTCACATTTCAGCGTATTGGGATCTACCCCTGCAAGACTTGCCACAGCACTTCCAAGCCCCAGGAACAGGAAAAGAATATTTGCTGTACAAAAAAGTTAATTAGTAATGCAAACAGTGGTTTAAATAAAAAAAAACTTTACTGCAATTTTATGAGTCCATTGTCAGGGATCCCTAGAACATTTTTAAGGCCTAATTTTTCAAGCGTGAATATTTTCGATTATGGCAGCAAACAGAGGTAGATATAAAATTCAAAAGATGCACAGAACGCAGTGGATGTCAGTTCTAATCCTGCCGGTGTCGGAAATGTTTTCAATTTATTATCGATTTTTAATATATATAGTGCCATCATGAGCCAAAAATACAAACGGGCCTCATTTGGGAAGAAAAAAAACTCAAACAATTAAGTAATCATATTTCCGTACTTTTAAATAAATAAATTGTGTATATTAATTGTTTAACATTTAACCTCACGTAGGTATACTTAATAGAAATGAAGGACTATTCCCTTGAAAACTGATGATGTATTGAATTTTTTTTTAAAGGGGCAATTGCGATACCGGTACCAGTAACGATTGGTTACTTGTATACAGATTATGTACAATTAAATATAGACATACAATAAAACTGACGTAACGAAACCTTATTTTTTGACATTAGCATATACGTCAATACTTGACAATCACCAACTGTCATATGTCAATCAAACAACTATAAAGTTTAATATTTTGTTCAGAAAACGAAATAGAGATCCTAAGAAAATAAACTTTTTAAAGTTTTACGATAAACATCTATAATGATATCTTCTGATTCAGAGGACGACTGCTATGGGAATGCTACAAAAAAGTTTCAGAACATTCTAAAGGAATATAAAGAGGACAAAATCGACACCGCAAAATTATTAAAACACTCTTCGACTGGATCTGAATCCATTAAAAGCCACAATGAAATAACTGATAAAAGTTCAAATATATCTGCGAATAATGAAGTTTTATCAAGTAATAATGATTCTCTATATGAAGACGATGTTACTTTAGATGAAATTATTGCTCTTAATTCATCTCAGACCCAAACAAGAGGTAGAAAAACAACAAAACGTAAATCAACAAGAATTGCTAATGCGAGAAAACGAGGTAGAGGAAAGACTTTTATAGAGAACAATAGCCCCAATGCCATAGATAGTGTAAATCAATATTCTAGTACTATAGAATCACAAGAACCTGAAGGTTCTGTTTGTTTATCAAATAGTTCGGCAAGAGGAAGAACTTCACAAAGATCTAGAGGAAGAGCGAGAATAGGTAATAGAGTTAGAGGTAGTCAGAGAATAATACCAGATTTTACAAATATTCCAACATATAGTGTTGGTAACACAGATGAGTACCCTGATTACTCTGATAATGTAGATATATTTAGTCACAATAAACAGCTGGAAGTGGTCGAAGATCCATTAGATGATAATGAAGAACTATCCATCAAAGTCTACTGGCAGAGCTCAGAAATAGTTAAATTCACAATACGCAGGTACCAAAAACTATCACAATTATTTGACTATTTCTCTAAGAAAGCCAGTGTTACTATAGATAAAATTTTATTAACTTATAATGATAAAATTTTGAAGCCAAGTGACACTCCGGACAAGATTGATTATAATATAGCCAAGATAATAGATGGAGGTATAGCCAATTCAGTTCCTATAACAATAGATGATGATGAGTGTATAGAAAGCGGTATTAATTTGAAATTCCAATGCCAGAATGTAAAAAAACCCTTTCGAATCAGCGTCAAGAATGGGGACACACTAAGAATGGCAATGATGAAATGTGCTGAGCACTTTGATAAGCCGTTAAATATGTTAAAATTTGAATTTGATGGTGATATTATTACTGGTAAGTATGAATCAAAATTTATCTTTTTATATGTTATTTATAATTACTTCCGTCCCTTAATATTAAAACACCAAGCATTCTTTTAGTCACAAGAAGGTCTGCTTTCTTAATTTTAAATATAATGAATCATTGGGATGTTTAGAATATTTAGGTAAAATTTTCTGTTAAATTTAAAATATGTATTCCATATCAAGACATTAAAAATTAACAAATGATTTGATTAATTCAAATACTAGAAATATTGTTTTACTAACTTCAAATGTAAACTGGTAAATTAACACATGCAGTTGATATCCTAACAAAAAAATATTTGTTCTATAATTAACAACAAAAAAACATCTAGTATACCCATACATATACATATACAGATGTCGACTTGTGAGTGAAATTCTCTGAACCAACCTACCTTATATATTATTTATTTATTTATTAATTACAAACACCACAGAAATGGTTTACAACAATAAATTCTTATGTACTAGGTACTTACTTACTTACCGATTCCGTTATAAATATTCAGAAGCCTTTGTAAACGCTATGATACTTATCGTAGATTATCAAGATAAAGGGCTAGCAAAATAGTAACTATAGTAGCTAATCAGTCATTTGATCCATCTAATAAATTTTATAAAATTGTTATTAAAAACGCTAACTAATGGCTACATGGTACCTTAATTACCCTATCTCTAAATTTTGATGAAGTTTATCTATTATCTTTAGATTGAGTTGATAACAAAATGGTTATTACTTATTAAAAATTTTAATTATTTATTACAAAGTGTATGTTTATTGTCTATGACGTAAATACGGTAGTATCTGTTTGGTAAATGGGCAGGTGGGTACCGACAACCAGTATCTTACACTACTCTTGTATTATATACTAGAGACCCGCCCGGTTTCGCTTGGGTGCATAGCTGATACTAAATACACTAGAGGGGAGAACTATTACTATATGAAACCTTCTTGAATCACTCTATCTCTTAAAAAAACGCATCAAAACCTATTGCGTAGTTTTCAAGATTTAAGCGTACATAGGGACAGAAAAAGCGACTTTGTAGTGATACAACATATATAACTATTTAAATGATACTTAAATTCAGTTATGTTAACTATGTAAATTTTGTCCTTTTACGGTTATCTCTGAATTATGAAATTTAAATTTCAAGTTCATAGTACAATGTGACTACGATTAGAATGAATTATTTCAGCTTTTAATCCTAGATAGTGTCCAAATCTATATAGTTGAAATACGACAGCCATAAATGTCGAGTCAACTCCATTCAGATAACAAGTATAGGTACTAGCTAAAGATTAAGAGTAATTATTATGTAGAATTGCATAACATGGAAAGGAATTTCTTAAATGTACGACTACCCACTTTTCAAGCACGGATTGGTTATAAAATAAAATATACTTTATTCTCTTTAAAATTTTAAAAATTATTTAGACTCGTCAAAAATTGTTTGTTTGTCTTCATCGTCTTCGTGATTGTACAGTGTTCAAAAGAGCAACATAACCGAGAACACCCGAGAAACTCGGTCCGGCTTATAAACATTTTTGTAAATATATTATCCTATGGAGCAATTAATATTACAGCCAATATTACAGGTCTTGTCATTAAAGAAATCGTTCAGACAATGAATTCGCCTTTTGAAACAATCTAAATTTTTTATAACTTTTTAAAATGTATTTATCGAAAAATTTAAAATCTCGACTGGCAATGTATTATGCACACGAATACAATTCCCCGCAAATGAATAAGGTATTTTATGGAGCCTACATTTGGGGATAGCTAAGTTATCCTAATATGATTTTACATCTATCTCTCTCTATTCTAAATAAGGAGAAAATAAACAAAACACATTAATTCTTTCGTTTGTTTCAGGCGGAATGACACCAGATGATTTAGAGCTTGAAGGTGGAGAGTGTATTGATGTTAAAATTGCATGCTAAAAACATACATTTATGGTTTTACCTACGTGTAATATAATAAAGGTCATAACTTTGCATGCTGGAATGGAAAATTTTATTTCCTCCGAACCACAAAACATGCTCGTTTCACACCACAAAGGGACAATAAAACGTATTTTTTAACAAGACGGTTACGGTTATTACGCGAAATATATTAGTCAAATTGGACCGATAAGATAACGTATACATTTCGCGTTTAAAACCGTTAAAAGTGTCTTATTTAGTCGCGTAAACGACTGACCAACAATAGAAAGTATTGCAAATTTTAGAGTAAGAATTATTTAATTAAAACACTTATATTTCAACAAATACCATAAATAAGTAGAAAAAAACTTAGTTCAATGTCCATTTTTGGTTTGAAGAGAACCGTTCTTATATATTCAGGGAAAAATGTAAGTAACCATAGTTCACTTAAAACTATGTAAGTAAACTTTGTATTCACTCCTTGTTAGATTATTTTTATTTATTACGGCTTTGATTTCGAACACAGATTAAAGGAAACTCACCAATCATAATTTCAGAATTTCACAAACACTCCTTGACACTGCGTTGAGATCTCATTGTATTAGTACCTAAGTCTTTTCTTTTATAGAAAGATTAAATCTTTTATCTTGAGATAAGCTTTTTTGCGATTTTATTCAGTTTATGATTGGGTATCGATCGACCATTGCTGATGTAGACATAGGCCCTAAGTTGCCTCCCCATGTCCCAGACATAAATACAATTCGTATGAAGTTAATTCTACGAACAAAGCTTAAAAATATATACTTAAAGTATAACTCTTATCATGTCAGCTTTTGTATAATACTGTAAAGTTTTAAACATTTGTTTTCTAATGTATATTATGTTCAAACCCAAAATAGACCGACAGCGTATCATATTTAGATGTTAAAAAGCTGCGGCCACCATCATTAAAGTCATCTACTAGTAGTAAATTGAAAAATGTTTTACCTAAGGTCGGATATAATAAATACATTCATAGTTTTTTTTTGCATACTAACATATTTTAAAGTGAAGTAATTGTCGTAGCGCTTATACAAAAGATGAATGAAAGAACGACTCCTCTTAAATGATCTAAAAATGTCCGTAATAGTACATGTCTATATTAAAATTAACTTGCAAAGACGACGGGACGCGGTCGACATCGTCGATAACAGCTAACGTTTATAAAGATGAGGGGGTTTGGATAAGCAAATTTTGATGAAAATAACTATTCTACGCGGACGAACTCACTGGCACAGCTAGTAAATAATGTTGCTGACCCAAAATCTCGAAAACCGTTGTTAAACTTGAGTTTATATAACCTCAAAATATTAGATGACGCGTCAAATAGCATCAAATTAATTAAAAAAAAAACCCAGGAATTTATCTGGTCTGTATATAAAAACTGTCCTGATAGTATATTTATCATACACGATAATATGCAGCAATATATTATGTTATAGGTACTGCAATTATAAACAACACGATAAACCAATTACAAATGAAAGAAAAAATGTTGTTTACATATAATATAATGTATGCACGATTGATAAAAATGCAAAGCGAAAGAAATCCTGGTTTCTGGGCACATTTCTGTGTCCGTGTCACTTATTGATCAGACTTCTGTGTCCTGCGTGACCGAAACGATTATTTCTACTGGAGGATCCTTTTCCCATTACGGGTAAGCAGGAATATGGTTTATCAGGGATACAGAGTAGTTATGTCATTGTTAATCCAAATTCAGTCCATTAAGGTAAAGAGGTTTAGACAAGTTAATATCTGTTCCATCATCGTATCATCATATCATCGCGTGGCTAAATATGTAGTCTGCTGATTCATTGTACGAGGACGTTTCGTGGTTCCGTGGTACTCTTCTTCAACGAAACAATAATAAATAGACAATATGATATACATTTAATTTAAATTTTATGTAAGAAAAAGGCTAAAACGCTAAGGTTCTAGTCACAAGAAACCACTTACTAGACCCTTGTGGCTATATTAATCCTATTATAAGTAAGCAATAGGATTCGTATAAACTAGTTTTGGCTACAATTAAATATATCGTATCCGATCTCGCGTTGCATTTGCGTTAATTACGTTTACATTCATTACTAAATGATAATTTGTTTAAGGACTTTTCGGCTATTTTCAAAAATTCAAGCGTTTCGCCGTCGTAGTTCAGAAAAGGTGACATTACTACTATATAGCTTTTTAATTAGATTTAATTAAGTAAATAAACACTAAAAACGACTTTAAACACGAAATATATCATTTAACTTATTTAGAATTTATTGTAAAAACGGCCCGATGTTTCGGACTCTTTGCAACAGTCGTGGCCACGATAACAATAATTCCTAATGTCAAAGTTAAAGTTATCACGCTAGCTCTGTCTGTGTCGCTAAATCGAAACTATGGGATGGGGGGACGCCCGCCATCTGCAATCCTTAAGACTCGCGTTAAGAGAATCTTAGAAATTAATATCATGTTACTTTTTTGTATAATACATTTCATGCTATGACAATTTCTAAGGTTCTCATTAATTCCACATATCGTTACAACAGCCTTCACATTGCAATAATGCCAACGCTCTGTAAAAACAAATAGAAGTAGGTATTAATGAACTTGAACAAAGGTAATTAACCGACAAACCGCAAGACTTTTACAAATTGTTGCGTCTTATCGATATAGATAAATTAATAAAATTTATCATTTCAATAAACACGTTTTCTTCCTTGTGTGTTTTATGAGGTAATTGTTTAACGTGTACGTTTGACAATATAATATGACAAATTAAGTAAATGAAATATTCCTCAACTTTATTTCTTATAAAACTTATATCTATACGAGATAAAGTTAGTCTTAATAATAGTTATAGAATACATTTTTAATAGACTAAATTTGAAGTTGTTCGAGCTATTAGCAACTCGAAACTTGGACATCTCCCGACAAGCCATCGAATGAAAGGCGACCGACAGAACAGTACAGTATATGAAATTAAAAATACTGTCGTAGTAGTACACATTTAAATAAAACGGCCCGATGTTTCGGTGGAAACGTCGGGCTGTAGTTAAAATAATTATATAAGTACATATATCGCGTTTTAAACTGTTAAAGTATCTTATTTAAATATATCAAATTAGCTACATATATTTGTCATGAATAATTTGTGTTAGTTTTTATTCTATCGTATCCTACTAGGTTATAGTTAAGAGAAAATTCTAGAAATGTAATACTTATGAGACTTTACAAATATAGGTTTTGCCAATAGCCATGTTTATATTTTATCTGAGCAGTATTCACGAACGTGATCAGTATTTAAATCTGATCGGCGGGTCTTTTGATTGATTTACATTTTATAAAGGAAATTGCTTATAACGAACAATAAAGCATAAAGTTAGATATAGCGCGCCATTTATATTGCTTTTATTGTTTTATCTGTATTGTTGTTTTTGGTAATAAACTTTGGTATTCTTCAATATATAACGTAGTACAATATGGCCCGACACCGTGATTTAGCATATGTGTTAGCAGTTTGTAGAATATTACGTAAGCCACTTCGTTACGTAACGCGTAACAGCGCTGGTCTGTTTTCTCAATAGTTAAAATAAGATTAACTTATCACTTCTGTGTATTTTATGTTCGCTATGTAATTAAAATCTACTTACATAACTATAATTTATTAAGCGCCTCCGCTTGTGTTTAGTGCGAGGCCCGCAGTTCGAATCCCGAAGAAACAATAGATATTTCGACGAAGAATTAACTCTACGAGCAATCGAGGAGTTAACATCTCCTGGTGATGGCGAAACGTCGAGAACCTCTTCTCGCTCTTGTCGGCCGAACAGCCCGAAAGACAATGATATGCTGAACGACGGCCGTGAAAGCCTTACACAATTTATTCAACTACATTTCTGTATAAGTACAAAACCGACAGTGAAACGGACACAAATGTGTTCGTCCCATACCCCATGGGTGAAACGGGATTTCTTTATTAATAAATAACATTGGCGTATATTGGTTTGAAAACCCTTTCAAACCGAAAGAAATATGGAACCCTCAAAAATAACTCGCCCCGCTCACATTGACTTATATAATTATTTATTGAATATTGCTCATCTGGTGAAGGAAATTTATAAGAAAGTGATGTAATTAATAAAATATACAATCAATAATTAAGACATCAGTACCTTCATTATGATTCGTAGTAGATATTGTAAGCAGATATAATTGTCTAATCCACAATAATCTAAGATAAATTTTTTATTGATTTTGCCGATGAATTTTTCCATGTCAACTTGTAGTGTAATGAAGTGAATAAAACACGAAATCACTTCAGTATCTTCAGTATTCAGCACGCTCAAAACATCATAGCTGACCCTTTGGAAAAAATTCGCGTTATAACCAGTTAGAATTGTTTTAATTAACGCACTTAAGAAGTACTGTATTATTATTTTGTTATGATACAGGGTTCACTTTCGCAAACGATAATCACTCATTCACACTTGTAAGCATTAGAAACCATTTTATCATGGCGATTAGCAGACGGCTTAACTCTCCATCACCACGTCTTTAATACTTCGATTAATCAGTTATAAGGGATTATGAAATTTATTGGTAATAAATAACAAGAAAGCGCGTAATTATGTTTTAAATTTAAAAAAATAATGCACGGATGCTTTATGCTATTGTGGCTAAATGTTTTTTTTTTATCTACCCTCGCGATGTAACATACTTAATACAAAGCTAAATAGTACATGGATTTCTTTTTGTCTATACCTATAGGTATTATACAAAACTAATAGGAAATACTTTAAATCGGTTTTACGTTATTATGTAAAGTTATTTACTCAATACCCTTGCGTCAGAATAAATTTAAACATTAGCATATATCCTTAATACATAGAGACCTTTAATAAAACACTTTTAACCAGGCCTGACGTTTCGGATGCTTCGCAGCACCCATGGTCAGTGGGAGACTTAAGATGGCGCCTCCAATGCGAAGTAAAACTGCTACGTTAGCGCCATCTGTTGTGTCGTTATTTGGTGGAACTGACTGGGCCCTTACAGAACTGACTCACGATGTTCTCCCGAGTGTCATGACTTCTTTCAGAGATGTGCTGTCGAACTTTATATTTGTACATTTAAAAAATAACAGATTAAATCCGTCTATTAAAAAAAAATAAAAGGTGTTAAATAAAACGGCATTATGAAGTACATATTTTATTATAATAAAAAGATTATAACGAATACCTAAGTTACAGCTACCTACTGATCTAACTACGTAATTCGCTTATCTAAAAACATTTGAAATCCATACAACTATGTCCGCTATACACAAGGAGGGTTTCATATAAGCTGTGTATAATTCACTTAGAGCCAAAACACAATGTTAGGCACGACTCAGCTGGGCGCAATGACGTTGAAGAAAACGATAATTTTAGATAATACACAGATAAAAAATCTATTTGAAATCGGTTTGCAATCTGTGGAAATACATCATTGGTAGACAATTATATATATATATATTTTTTTTATCTTTTGTAGTTTATGTGGTAGGTATATATTGTAAATAATATAGGTGTAAGTTAAAAGTATAAGTTTACGTGAGTAGTACACATTTAAATAAAACATTTTAACGGTTTAAAACGCGATATATTAGTTAAACTTATTTGAAAATGTTTTTTAACTTCGGCCCGACGTTTCGGATGCTTTGCAGCAGCCGTGCTCACGGAGAGACTTTGTAAACGTTAAAGTGACGTTTTAAACCGTTAAAGTGTTTTATTTAAATAACAAAGCTGTAATAAATAAATATAAGTGTATGTAAATTTTAAATGTACTTTTTGAATACTGTCTGTTGTTTACGCGAGAAGTACACATTTAAATAAAACACTAACAGATGAAAATCTGAAATATATCAGTTAAAATAATTTTCAAATAAGTTTAACTAAAATATTTTGCGTTTTAAACCGTTAAAGTGACATTTAAATATAATCTTTTTTTAAATATGCATTTAAAACGATGTAATGTCATAAGACAAGAAAAATAAAACCGTCAGCCAAACCTTGGTTAATTTAACTTATGAAAAGCCGTATTTTAATCAGTTAAATTTGCTTTATTTCAGCTAAACCTCAACTATCACTATCAAGGTGATAGTTAATTTCCAAATATTACGTTTAAGATCGTAAAGTGAAACAACCGATAAAAAGTGATTCGAAACGAAGAATAATTTCGTAATAATTTATCTCTCAAACATTTTCTATTGGTCAATTAAACGAGCGTAGATATAGTTCTGCGAAATCATTAGTGAAAAACAATACTATTTATGAAACGCAATAAAATAATAAACATTATCGCGATTAAATGAGTCAGATCCAGGAACAATATTTTTGCACAATAAAACGGATTAAAACAAGATTTCATTAATTTACAGCACTGTAATTGGAAATATGCGTATTTAATACTGCTTTTTAGGGCCCCGTATCGATAGATATAAACGCATCTGCTGTTTCACTGTTTGTCTCAAGAACAACAATAATCACAAATTTTACAATATACCACAAGGTAGGCCTCCCATACCAAAACACGTTTTTTATAGGTTGAGGAAAGTTGTGTCATAAAATAGTGCGGAACTCATCGCGTCTTCTAAAATATCTATTATTTTAAAAACATTTTATATCTATATTATGATCCTTATCTGTGAATTAACGTTTCCTTCTTAGCCTAGCTAAGCCCAGGCGTTATAACTGATTTGCAACATGTATTGTTAATGACACGATTTGGAGGGTAGTTTTCAAATTTCTAGCGTCAAGCGATATTACAGATAAAAACCACTGAGAACTAATAATTAGCTGCCTTGTTTGTTTTACCTATAATATCTTTGCTGTACCTACCCGCAATCTGCAAAGTATATGTTGCAGATTGCGGGTACTTGATAAAAAGGCTTAGTCTTCTGAACAGGCTATTATTGTTCTTACAATGAAAATTTCGATTAAAAATAAGGCAAGTTTAAATATACCTACAAAATATAGTTAGCGCCAAACGAAATAAAACCTCAAAATCTGTTTCTCCTCCATTGTAGGCTTGTATGAAGTTTATAACAAACTCTGGTATTTGTTTATTTGGATTCTCAATATTTTGGGGTAGATTGCTTCAACTAAACCGTAAACTAATAAAATAGATCCTCGGTTTCAATCTATATAGACTTAGAAAAACAAATAAACAAACTGTAAACTAAGTTTTTATTTAACATAGATTGGTTGAAACAACCTACCCTCATTGTACTTAACTGAATGTTGTATATATTTAGGTGTGTACAAGTTAGGTGTGCTTTTAGTGTGTTTAAAAGTTCGTTGTTCAAAGTATAATGTTTCTTATTTAGATGAAATACGGATTTCTATTATATAACAATTAATCCTAGCAATTTGTTCGACGGTTGTAGAATAAAAAAAGAAAATTCGAAGTAGGCGGTACTTACTGAGAGATGATTTATGATAAATTTAATACAATTCGTCCAAAAATAATAATACTTAGACTGGGAAACAAGTAAACCGATGAAATAATGACACGCAGTCAATGTTAAACCTCGGTTAAATTTTAACTGGCGGTTAAAACAATGTCATTCTTCCCTGGTCTTACAAAAAAGTCGTTAAAAGTAACGACAGTAAGAAACCTGGTATAATCGCTAAATTGTATTCATTTCGAATTGTTAATAAAGAAATTATTGATAATTTCTACAAAATATAACGTTGATATATAAAATGGTATCAAATGTTTGATTTATTATTATAATAGTAAAAAAAAGGGTTTGAGGAAAGCAATTCTTGAAGAAGAATTACATAGAAATTTTGCGACATAATATATCGAATCATAACTTATGTCACTCAGTTGAGAATTGCCTACCATACGCTAGATTCGTGCACCCTGATGTTTGTAAATACCATTTTATATATAAATCTGGATATACTTAACATATAATATATAAAAAAAAAACATTATTGCTATATCTAAGAGAATACGCGTATTTTTGTGTATAATAGAAATATCTTTAAGACAAAATATAGAAAACTGGACGTTAAATTATAGGAAAAAAATTCTTATGTTGGTTATTCGATTTCACAAACCAACATAATGATATATAAATAAAATATCGAATATAAAAACTATGTCATTAAACTTAGCACCTGTGACGGTACAGTCGGTGTAAAAAGTGATTAGATTAATATATTTATTATTATTACTGTTGGTAACCACTACTCGTTTGGTCAAACTGTACTTTGACATAGATGTATTCTTACTATTTATCTAAAAACTTTTAAGAAAAAATTGTGGCTTTTGACTTAGATTTTTCTAATGGATTTTTTTGATGGAAAATATAATTTAAATAATCTAGGCTTTCCTCCATGTAGAACTTGGTTCCTGTATCAGTGAAACTAAACTCAGTTGTCTCTTGATTTAACAAAAATCAAGAGAGTAACGGTAGAAGTACCAAAGAAGTAAAAATACTTTCACCCGACTGTACCAGCACACCAACGTCATAAAATAAAATAAAAACAACTTCAATAATCACAGATTATCAAAAACTCAACCAATTAATACTTTAAAATGCCGAATTAAATAATTCATTCACCTATAACGCTCCTAGAATTTATCTTACGTCTATTAGCAATTTAAGAATCGTATTTTTCAATGAGTTATATATATTTGGAGGCACTCTTAAATTTACATATTGATTCGTCCTATTATATTTTTACGGGTACCAAAAGTATTAAGACTCGTGACGTCATCGCTTGTTTATCTAAGAGCGCCTTTATATATAATATATATATTTTGTGTATATAATTTAATCCGGTGGTAAGTAACTGAAGAGCTTGTATTTGTCTCGGATGTACGGCCGCACGTCATCTTTCTGAAATACGGTAAATGAAAAATATATTACTTATAATAAAACACTTTAACGGTTTAAAACATGGTATATATTCCATCGATATATATCTATTTGGCGAAAATACGACCGAATGGCGCTAGCGTTGCAGCTTGTTTAACTTTGACGTCGAAGAAGTGTTTTATATAAATATCGTATTACATTTACAACACACACACATAGTTGGAGAGAGTAGAGTGAGTAAAAGAAATTAAAGAGTGTAGTGTAGTTTACGCAAATAATACACAAATAAACACTTAACAGTTTAAAACGCGAAATGCGTTATTTTAATTATGACCGTGGTCGTGGGGGGCTCAGTCCTCCCGCGCTGCTGCGATATTATATATTACTTCTTGGAATTAATATACATAACAAAGTAACAGTTAGTATGTTCAGTTTCCACCGGGGTGATTTTCTGTGTTTTAATTGATTTATTGTTATATGTAGGTACGATACTTACAGTAGCAAGGTGCTCCAAGAACGGAATCAGCTTTAATAATTCGTTGTCACTCTTGTCTACGAACCAGCTATCTATCGGGATTCCGTTCTCAAGTTGATAACCAAACGCCTGTAAGAGACACGACTAGATAATTATTCAATACTTTTCATACACAAAATGAAAATGAATAGCTGAATGTTGTTGAGAAAAAGTATCTAAATACTGTCCGTAATTTACGCGAGTAGTACACATTCAAATAAATAAAAAATAACGATTTAAAACGCGATATATATTTCTACTTGTTTGAAAAGTTATTTTAACTACGACGTTGGTCACGGGGAAACGTAGTTAGAATAATTTTCACACAAGTTTAAGTAATATATGTATATCGCGTTTAAACCCGTTAAAGTGTTTAATTTGAAAGATATCTTATAATTTTAATTAGATTAATTTTATTCATTGTTCGTAATTAAGAATAAAAAAAGGTGTTTAAAAAAAAAGTATAACATTAATCTGTCTTTTGATCTGGAAACTCTTTTAAGTAAATAATATCTTTACCAGGGTTTCAAGAATTTAGATCTTAATTCTAAATAATTTATTCTAAACTACATTTAAAATAATAAAATGAACTTTCTAATAAGTTTAATTAGATTTAAGCTAAAAAAACATTATTTTTAGTCGAAAATCTTAATGTTTAATTTAAAAATCGAAAATAAATTGAAAAAAATTTCAACTCGGGCAGGACTTGAACCGGCATCGTCAGCGTTCCGTGCTATTGCTCTACCGATTGAGCTACCGAGTCCTACGCTGACGATGCCGGCTCAAGTACTGCCCGAGTCGTAAATTTTTTCAATTCATTTTCGATTTTTAAATTATACAGTGCCTTCATGTGGAATAACATGTAAAAATCAATAAAGTTTTCAAAACTTAATGTTTACTAAAATATTATCTATTAATTAATAATATTTAAAATATTACCTGTGGACTATTGTCGACTATTACAGTCTTGCGCAGATCCCTTCCCAAAATGGAGAGATCTTTGACATAGTTTCCGTTCACAAGAAGACAATGTTCGCGGAATAATCTGCAAAGAATCACAATTGTCAGTTCTTTCTTTTATAGACCGGGATTCGAATCTCGTCTATAGGTGTTACTTTTATCAAAGACATATGTAACGGGTAACGAACCTACTACCTAACAATTGAATGTTGGACTGATTGAATAACTCATTTCTGTAACTCGCATGTAGGAATGGTCCCGAGTTCGACACCTGGGTAAATGATAAAGAGGTCTATTGGTCCATGCCAGTCCAACAGATACAAATACTGTCTTAAACTCGATAACAATATGTGGTCCCCCTGTAACTAGGGCAAAGCATACGAATCGGCGGGCCGTAGTTAAAACAAATAAGTTTTACTAATATATATCGCGTTTAAAACCCTTAAAAGAGTTTTATAATATCAATTATCTAGATTTAGATAATTTCTCAAACATTTATTAGTCGTACCTGAACTAAACATCGATTTGAGATTGACAAAGATTTACGACAAGGGCGGGTCTTGAACTAGCTTATAATTGAGCTACGGTGTCCCTTCAACGCACTGGGATGACAAGAATGCCGCTATGGACTATCAAGCAGCGCAAAGTCGTATACCCGGGTCACGTCCTTCGCCATGACGCTACTGCCTCCTCCAGCTTATTATGAAGGGGGAAAATCCAGGGTAGAAGACGTGTTGGAAAGAGGAAGAAATCATGGCTGCGAAACAGCAGGGACTCGCAAAGGACACAACTCGCTCTCAAAAGCTAACGGCCAACCTTCAGTTATTAGGGGCATGAGAAGAAGACCGTGTCCTCTACGTTAAGGTCGAATTTTAACGTACCTGTATTTAATCCATCGCCTCTGCGGGTCGAGCAGGTTGAGCAGCCTGTCTGCGTAGACTCGCTTGCTCGCGGTGAACAAAATGACCTCGTAGAGCCGAGAGACGCGCGACAGGAACTGAGCGAAGTGGGGTCGCGTGCGCACAAACACCTATACAACAATTAAACTCTAACCATCTATTGCAAAGGCAGATACATTTTTAAATTATGATAAACAAACGCTAATACGCACGATACTCATGAATTTAAGTTTTTTAATCAAATATAATTAAAAAAAAAAAAAAATTTTACCGTATAACGACAATCTTGGAAGAGGACGGGAAAATGGAAGCTCGCATCTGGCAACTCTTGCAGAGAACAGTGCACTAAGGTCTCGTCTAAATCCAGCACCTGTGAAAGTATACACAAAGTTATAATGCTGTTATAAATTTAAAAAAAATATATTTATATTCATGCATGATAGCATTATATAAATTAAAGCTTTTGAGTTACCACGTTAAACATTCAAGTTTCGACATGGTAGGTCAATGGTTCAGATAAAAGAACGAATCTCTGTGGGTGAGTATTTTTTAAAGTACTGTCTATAGTTTACGCGAGTAGTACCACATTTAAATAAAACACTAACGGTTTAAAACGCGAAATAAAATATTCATCAAACGGGGAGACCCCGGTGTCTCCCCGTGACCATGACTGCTGCAAAGCATCCGAAACGTCGGGCGAAGTTAAAAATCATTTTTAAATAAGTTTAACTAATATATCGCGTTTTAAACCGTCAAAGTGTTTTATTTAAATTGAAAAGTAACAAGATACTCACTAAACTAAAGTCGGGGCTAGTTCTAGTCTTCAATGGCAGGGCGGGATACCTAGCTCGCAATGCTCCCGTCGCCACACTCTCCAGTGGTGGAAGCTGAAAGTTGTCTTACAAATTAATGACGTCATAATTTTAAATAAATTACTAACGTTCTTGTGAATGTCTTTTGATTGAGAGTGCTTAAAAAAAACATGTAATTTACATAATTATATTTTTTTGTTTTTATTTATTGTATTATTAAATACTGTCTATAGTTCACGCGAGTAGTACACATTTAAATAAAACACTTTTAACGGTTTAAAACGCGATAATTTAATGAAAAAATTGCTACGCTAGCTTTTACTTTGACGTCAGAGACAACCTCCATCTTTAGTCTCCCCGTGACCACGGCTGCTGCAAAGCATCCGAAACGTCGGGCCGAAGTTAAAAATAAGTTTTAACTAATATATTTTAAACCGTTAAAGTGTTTTATTTAAATATTGTATTATTGTTACTACGCATATATAAGTGACTAAAGATTATTAAAAAGGTCAAAATTTATTATAGTATTTTGTATTAACTCTTACATAATTTTCTATCTTTACCTGTTTAATGAATAGATATGGATCGAATGCTTCGGCCCACGAAGATATTTGCTCACAGTCCACTCTTGTACTACATGAAGTAATGACATCTACGGCTTCCTCCTACAAGAGAAATTATTATTAAAAAAAATCTTTGTAACTATGTCTACATTACAACAAATAATTACATATTCACTTACTTAGACAAAGGTAATTAATAATTACACAGCATGGAAATCTTGTCATTTAATATGATTTAATTATGTTTTTAATGATAGTGACCCCATTGCTCAATGGTTAAACGTTGGCATAACATGGAGGTCCTGGGTTCTAGTCTCGAAACAGTAAATCGTTTCACTGGGTCTGGGTGTCGCTGTCAGGCTGGTCAAAAAAAGGATGTAACTTTGTTTATAGAGAGTAACAAATTTTTTATCACAATTTGTATATTCATCCTTACCTCGATGTCCGGGGTAATTTCATCGTGACAATTCAAAGAATTCTCGTCAGCTACAATTTCAGCACTCTGAAGCAAGAATCGGAATATCAGATTGAAACAGTATTATTTTGACATAATAGCTATTCTGTTAGGTATTGGATATAGAACCCCAACGGTAAGTTTTAAGGTTGAAAGTACATTGCCCTAGAGGTACATACAGTGAATAACGGCTCAATTATCAGGGCATCAGCAAACGGTAGTTCGAGCCCTGCCTGTGTCATTATATAAAATAGATTTAAACTTATAAAAAAATATTACTGGACATTTAGATAGTAAAAACAAGAAATAATATTATTTATATAATTTAAGTTTGACATACTCATGTTATAAATTTAACTAATTGTAGTAAGTGTTAGGATTAGAATTCTATCAAATACAATTTTCATTGAGAGAAGTCACATATTTCCTTTTAAGTCCAAACAATGCATATTTGGATTAGATTCTTATAAGTTAATAATATATCCTATATAATCCTTACCCAACCGTTAGCCTCTGCAGCCAAGCTCTGGCTGATTTCAGCCAGAAATCCACTGCTGGGGCTCCGAGCTGACAGTGCTTCGAGACTCTCTATAGCAGTACCCTGTTCACATGTAGACGAAATCTCGCATTCGGAGTCGCGGACATAGCCATCTTGTTCCAGCAAAGAGACAAAGTCTGGCTGTTGGTGATATTAAGAAAATGTATACCAAATCATTTCAGGTGACCCAATGACCAATTCATTCTATATATATATTTGGATCCCACTCTTCACAATTGACCTATTATTTTCTTTTTACTATTTACTAAGTAACAAATGGTATAATAGCGATGATAGCGAGGAAAGTTATTACTAATTATTAAAACAGTAAGTTTATAATTATCTAAACCATGTGTAAGTTATATATTTACCTTAAAAATATATATTATAAAAAACTTGTATGACTTTGTATTTACTATTTAAGTTCTTCAAAATCTCTGGGCCAATTTTATTATTCTTTTAATGAATTCTAGTAGTCAAACTTACCTGTACATATTTTTCGTCAGTTGTCAAAAAATCTGTACATACATCCAAGTCGTCTGTCGTCGATGTCGGTTGATACATTTCCAAATCATTACTAGATTTCCACCTCTTCTTCTTGTCTACTGAATTTCGTTCTTCTTTATCTGTTGTCATGACTCTGGCTGCTTTATCTGCTAACATGTTAATATCATGGTCAGTGGATATCCCTTCGTTCATCAAACGTACACATTCTATCGCCATGAAGTCATTCAAACAGTCATTTGGCAAGCACAGCTCTGTGGATTCAACTTGGCCATCAGAATCAGACTCATCTTTTAAATCTGAAGTGGTTGTATGCGGTTCATACATAGTCACATCATTATCTTCAGGAAAGCTCGGTTCAGGTGTGGGATCTTTTGGTTTCATTTTCTTTTTTGGACTCTCATTTGTGGAGCTAATGGCTATTTTATTCAGTCTGGGTGAGGGAGTACCCATTTGCCTGACTTTACGGATCGGTGAGCTATTTAAAGATGCTGATTTCTCGGTTTTGTCCATTCGTCGCGTTTTACGCGGTGAACTAAGTGCTGAGGAGACCGACTCTGTTTTTCTAAGTTCACGGTTCAAAGAACTTTGTCGGAGCTGCACACTTCTGGTCATTCTGACTTCCTTCAGCTTTGTCTTTGATGTCTTTTCCTTAACTTTCACTGGTGTTGATGATGTAACTGTATCTTTAGCAGTGTTCCGGACAACTGTCTGAAATATTGGCTTCTTGACATCATCCTTTTTCTTTTGATCAACTGGTTTCTCCATTTTAATGATTTTTGTTCTCACTGGTCGTGTTTTTAACCCTAGTGCATATCTGGACCGAGTACAGTGAATAATTTCAGATGACAACACTTTATCGTCATTTAAAATCTTCTTCCACTTGTTCTTCTTGAGTAATAGTGTATTTGGTGACTTTTGTTTTATTTTTGACACTTTCTGTGAGATTCGCTTTGAGAGCCGTTGCTCCCTCTTTTTGCTTCTTAGCCGCATTGCAATTTCAGTAGATTATATTCTGTAATGAAAACTGTTTCATTATGTTATAACTAAAATATAATAACTTGCATCTAGTAATGGCATGTAGTTATTTTTACAATCCGAGTGAGAATTTAATCTTTGAGAGTAGAAATGGACCATTTTAATTGCACTTTTCCAATAGGAAATTTAACTTAAATATAATAGGAAAAATAATAAAATAAAAAAACGAAATACAATAAAAGGACTAAAATATAAACTTACATGAGCACTGTTTCGTTAGAAAGTCTTTCTTAAAGTATAAAAACTGTATAAACGCAAATATTTATACATGACTATAATACGATACGAATTAAATTTCGCCAATCGCGGTGCGAAATATCGGCGCCAAGTACTTGGCGCCTTTTTCTTTACTTCGGATGAAGCACTAATTTATTGTTCTTACGGAAGTAGAAATCAAATATAACTTTAAATATCACCTCCCGTAAATAATAAGACACTATTAACACTAAAGTCCTTAGTTAAATTTTATTGCAAAATAAAAAAAAGCGGCACTAGCACAGTATTGATTTATGCGCTGGGAAGGGGAAACTAGAACCACTGATGCGTATTAATGTATTCACTTATCTAACACAAGAAATAATTAAACGACGGAAACGCAAACATAAACCAAATCGGTAAGTAATTAGCGAATAATTATTCGATGTTAATTTTACTGCAGAACACAAAGCTAAACAAATGTCAAAATGGCGGCGTTCCTTTTACAAAATGCACCAAAGCAGTATAAAAGTGTTTCCAATACTCTTACAGAGATGGCGTTAGACTCCAATTCTTATGTCGCGCATGCGAATGAGAGAAAATAATGTGTAAAGGGTTTTAAATATATATATATTATTATTTTTATAGCACGCAAACAAAAACAATGTAATATACATATTTATCATATCTAAGAGTGGTTTCAGTATTACCGATTATTCAAACCATCAAATGACAGCACTAAAGAAGAGATTGCTAGAAACCGATATTTGATAATCTGTGTTTTTTGAATTTCATTTGTTACTCTGTTAATGTACAAAAGTCAAAACATTTAAATCGCGAGGAACGGTCTTTAATGTAAATAATATTTATTTAATTGATAATAACTGAAAATATAAACTTTAATATTATTTATGTTTAATATTTCGTTAACATAACGTCTTCTAGTTATGTCCACTTCAAACGTATCAGCGGTTTCTTCTAAACAAAAGGTAGGTTTGCATAACTTTCGTACCTTTTGTACTATATTATTAAGTTACTGAATAAGTAACCTTTATTTGCAGGAAGCTGCAGAGTTAACAGAAGAATTAGAATCCATTCGGGCACTGAACGCTAATCTTCAAACCTTTTTGGACTATTTACAAACTTTTAGAAAGAACCTCATCGAAGTGAACAACAATTGCAAAGAATTTCACAAAGTAAACAAGCAATGGATTGAAACAGTTTCTAATAGCTAATATTAATTTTGGAAATGGCTTACAATAAAAGTCTATGTAATTTTATAATTTAAGTACAATATATAAAATAAAAACAAAAATCTTATTAGTAATCATATTAATTACATATTTGAATATAATGTTTGAATTTTTATAAGTTATGTAGAATCTTCACTAAGAGCATCTGTTGGCCCGGCCTTAGTAGATTTTTCTGTAATTAGAAAAAGTGTAATTGTAGTATAATAGTTTCCAAATGTAACTGCTATTTCCAGACAAAATTTTATGTTGTAGTAATTCAAATAGTTCAAAACGTGCCTAATTAAAAATGATTCTTTTCTTCGATCGATAGCTGCCTTATTAAAAAGATTGGGTGAATATCTATCTGTCTTAATGACTTACAAGATCACATTTTTATTTGCTTTAATATTCTATTCAAAGTCACATGTAATAATACTTTTAATTGAAAAATGTATCTAATATACATACCAATCATGCAAATAGAATACTGTGGGGTGTCACAGGGCAGGCCATATATGACACCGTTGAGATGATCTTGTCTATCGAGGTTAAGACAAGGACTATCCACTGTAAACTCCTCGTCTAACCATGGAGGCATCTGGAAAATTAAGTATAGAAGGAAAGAAGATTTTTCATATAAAAAGTTTGTTTTTTATTTGAAAGAGACCCAAAAATTAAATATTTATAATATATAATTTTTGGGTCTCTTTCAAATAAATAATGTCCCTTTCTGTTCTTTTTAAATACAAACGATATTTATCTAATAAGTGTATGTCTTTTAAACAACTAACGGTTTAAAACGCGATATATCGCCATGTATTCAAAAATCTAATTCTCAAATTTCAACTTACGTATGCCATAACATCGCCACTCTTGGGGTCTACTATGCGTTTGCCACTTATAGGATTCCACCATGCGTAACTAACGGATTCGCTTGCGTCTTTAGTCATGTTCAGACGACCAGATATCCAGATGTGTTCAACAGCTGTAATAGAAAGTTTCTATACTTACACCTAAGCTTAATCAAACATAAGCTATAAAGTAAAATATTTTTCTATGGTATCCAAGTGTTGATAAATTCACCATTTCTTTTAGCTAGGAATCTATTAAAAAATTCTATGATAGAGGAGGGCACAGAATCATGATAATGGAGGTAATACCCGGGTCTTATGACATCTCAACAATATGCTGTTGACCTGTATTATCCCCTTGGATATTCAGATATCCACAGACTGAAAATGAAACGCGATTCACTTCTAACTCTGAACTTCACGGCTTGATTTGTGAACGGACGGCGGTTCGTAAGCCGAACTATTTAATTAATCAAATTCTCCGGTGATCGAATTCACGACCCTTTAATTATTAGCTATACATTGTTACCAATAGATCAACGAACCCGTCCATGGAATTTATAAAGAAGGTGAAAAATATTGATTGATGACGTTGATTAGTAAAATATAGTAGGTATTTAAGTATGTCATTGTAAAAAAATTTGAGAATAAATAAATACGTCAATGTTACTTTATTTGACAATGCATTAATAACAAGATTTATTATAACATCTAGATTACTGATAATGGAAATATTGAAGTTTATATTAATACTAGCTGAGCGGGCTAACGTTGTTTTGCCATTTAAATAATTTTACTAAAATGTCTATTAAAAAATAAGGGTTGATCGTAGAAGGGTGAACATTTAGGATTGTATGTATTTTTCTATGTTGGATCATAAAGAAATTAAAACTTTAGTCTAAAAAAAAATAAAAATAAGGTTGAACAACCCTTATCACTTAGGGGGATGAAAAATAGATGTTGTCCTATTCTCAAACCTACTGAATACACATATGAAATTTGGTGAAAATCGGTCGAGCCGTTTCGGGGGAGTTCAAGTTCGAACACCGTGACACGAGAATTTTATATATAAGATGATAATAATACAACAAATCTTTTGGATTTAATACCTACTTCTGTCATAATTGTCTTAAATGTTTCATCTCAAAATGTTACTCACGCTCATCTTTATTCTCGCCCATCGCTAGCAAAAGTTGAATCAAAACGTCATTGTTTTCCACACTAGCTAGAGTCCCGTTCATTTTCTTACAGTTTTCGAAAGCATGTTGCCAGTAGAAGGATTGCCTTACTAAAATGTAGTAGTAATTATCGTCGCTAGGTGGCAGTACTGTGGTTCTCAAGCCTGGCGAACCTGAAGGAAGAGCTATAGCACATTATTTAAGCTAAATCCATTTATTCCTATCGAATTTTTCATCTGTGGACGTCGGGTCGTAACTCCGACGGAATTTTCGACATTCCTACATCCAGATTTCTAGACGGAAACCAAACACGTTTAATATAAAAAAAAATGTTTAGAAATACGTTGGAGGGCGTCGAACCGACGACTCGATGATTACTAGCCATACATTTCTACCATTCAATTAACAACGAGCGCGTCACAACGTAATTTTTATTATAGTTAGTTGATCTTATTTGATTAAGTCAATCAATGACTTAATCTTTAAAGCATATCACAGTTTACCTTGTCTTATCTTAACTGGGGTTGTCTGGAGGAGATCGCTCCAATAGAATCCTGTAATAATAAGTGCCACTCACCTTGATAGCAAATAAACTGCATCTTTCGTTCACATCTCGCTTCCATAAAAACAGGGGACTTTGTCTCGTGTCTATCTATTTGAAGGCATCCACTTTGCTTTATTGTTGAACTGTCTCTGTCAAATGATAAATATTAGTCTCCTGCATGTATTATATAAATTAAACAACGTGTAACACATGGTAGCTGTTTCATGTGATTCCATGATTGAGTAACATCACGAAACGATATGGTCGTAGATTTGAGTCGCTTCTATGTGTTATTTCTAAATTTACATATTTTACATAACTGAAAAGATATTTTGATATTCTTTCTCACTTCGCCATTGATGTATATTTCTACTTACTTAGAAATATTTAACGGCTTAAACGCGAAATATATTACTTGACTCATTTTTAACTAAAGCCAAAATACATCGCCAACGCATCATGTTTAGACGTTATATGGCTGGATTAATTCACCTACCATCAAGTAAAGCCCTTGTCTGTCCTCCTCTATAATAAAAGAATGTCTACAACTCTCGTAAACCACAGACAATACTAACTCAGACATAGTTAAGTTGTAGTCGAAAATATGTTTTAGTTCTTTCTCACCTCATAGGTGGCCATTCACCAGCAGATACATCGCTGTAAACCGAAGACGTGAAAATACTTAAACCTGTATCTATCCACGTCCACTGACCAAGAACGCCTTTTGCGCCAACCCACGCACTTTCAATGCCTGGAGAAAATACAAAATAGAGATTATAAAAAAAGGAATCATGATGTAATTTGTTTTTAAAATAGTTTAATTATATTCCAGCATTGTTGTAAACACAGACAACAAAGGTCTCGTGTTAGTATCACAGATACACTAGTTCGGTCGGGTAGAGCACAAGTTTAGCAGCTGTAAATAAAAGCGCTCAGTACAACAGACACAGATATGTGTTCGCCGTTGAATATGCACATAGAATGTAATTCATGTTATTAATAGGCAGAGACCCGGGCTTTTCATATATCTTTAAAATTTTTAAAAGTACCTAGTAATTTGACATATGACTTGTAAAAATTAAAAATGCAAGTTTTTTTCATAAAAGGAAAAAACGACTAAATAAAAAAAAAATATATACTCGGTATACTCACTCGGCCGTGCTTTGAGCATAGTTAAACCTAGTTTTTTTAAGCATTTCATTGACGGCACATTTGCTAATCTGAAAAGAAATAGAAATTATGTGGAAATTATTTTGCAGGTTAACTTTCATAGTATACATATTATGTATCCCTTTGTTTTAAGTTATATTATATATTCGAAAGATTAACACGAATTCTTTTTCTATTTATTTGTAGAGATCTTCTTGCGCGTGGACTGATTTGTCGTTTTAATTCTAATTAGAGAACTTCCTTAGTTGATGCGGTAACGAGTAAGTACCATCAACATGTCAAATATTAAGAGTATATGAAAATGAAAATGTTCGGTAAGTTCTTTTTTATTTCATTGCTAACCGTACAGACGGCCATTCTTACGCTTACATTGACGCGTATACAAATTGGTCACTCACACAACTTAGAGCTTAACTCGCTGGTCGAATGATTATTACATTAGGTCGTGGGTTTTAGTCCTCCCAGGTCCAATTTATTTATTTGGTTTCCATACAACATACATGCTTTATCTGTACTTACAAATGGTACAAAAAATATTTTTTTTACCTATACAAGGTTATTCTTTGTTGACACTAAAGCTGAAACACGCCAAACTTCTCTTTATTCCCTATTTAGTTATACTTATGTAGGTATTAGGTTATTTATCGAACGGTGTCCAAGATTTCAAAAAAATCATATACATAATTTTGACAAAAAATATAACGCGGTATAAAAACTATTGGAATGGATTCTGCTACTGCTTCTGAACAATCTACTTTCAGGTTTCGCATGAAGTAGGAATAACCTTGTATAAGAATTACACAGCACATTACAAATATTATTAGATAAATATGTTCAATACAAGGTTCAAATGTGCTTACGTCATCTTCTTAATGACGCAATAAGCGGCTGCCTGATGCCAATCCATCCTACCATCAAACAGGCGGTACAGTCCAGCACGACACCGTACACTCTTCAATTCCTGAACTCGAACTTGACTGTGGGCTTCTGTTTAAAAAAAATGTTTTAATCCCACGATCTAAGACTATAGCCACAGAAAGGTAAACAGTTAATGTGCTTCATTAGAAAAAAACTTTATTCTCTTTAAAATTTCAAAAATTATTTAGATTCGACAAAAGATGTCTGTCTGTCGTGATTCTACAGAATATACCACTCGAAACCACGAAAAACGATATTTAAACAAAACACTTAAAGCCGTGGTCACGGCTGCTGCAAAGCATCCGAAACGTCGGGCCAAGGTATAATTTTCAATTAAGTTCAACTAATATTTATTGCGTTTTATACCGTTAAAGTGTTAAATTTTACAACTTGCGTAAACTACAGACAGTATTCCAACGCGATATGAAAAAAATTAGGTACAATTGTTTAACTTTTGCAAATGTAATTCCGAAAACAATTTTCCGGGATTCTCGCTCAGGGACCTTGAGCTCGCAACGTCTATGTTCCACGAATTCCTTGAGAAATATGACAAGATATTTACGGTGAGATTTTTAAAGCTGTAACGTTTTCTGTGCTACAATTATAATAACCTTTCTCACACACAAAGGGTCTTTCTAAAAGACAGGGTAAGTCTAAGAAAACTGGTTTGTCGTGGTTGACCCGTTCCAGGGCGACGCAGTCAGCTCCACCCTCAGGTACTGGAATTCGGGTGCGGTTTAACCACTGAAAGGAAAAAATGTAATCTAGAAGTGGCTAAAGAGGATGAGGTAGAATGAATCCTTGGTACAAACTGTTAAAGACAACAAGAAGTAATCTCGACTGGCTTGTTGGTGACAATGTATGGCTAATAATAATCAACCTACGACGGTTCGATCTCCACATTCCATTATGTTTCTATTTAATTAAATTACAATATTTTTCTGAAACTTGTTGGACTTTACTATCTGGATTTTCAATGGATGGTAAGAATAATCCACAGATGAAAAAGCTGTCAAGTTTATCGTATTTCAGTTTCAGTTTGTCAATTTGCGAGTATCCAAAATCTAAATACAGGTCGACAACACATCCTATTAAGATGTTATATGGGACGTCTTTCACCTTGTATAAAGTCCTCTTCAATCTTAAAAACGTCAAATAGTAAAGTCGAAAAGTGTCACTCATAATTTAGTAAAGATTGGTACTTCTATCAAATAAATATCCATGTTTATGCCATTTTAACAATATTTACGTATTATTATAACTGTAAACTCTTTTAGTCTTATTGAAACTCAAATCACCATGGGGTAGTGTCTTTGAAGATTAGCATCCATCTCGTTCGGCAACACATCAGCTGCTGTTCTTCGTAGTTCTACACCGTGGCTCCATCTGTAGCCTTCTGGGTCATCTGCAGAGTCCCGTCTTGCACCAATCCATACCGATTCAATCGCTGAAAACAATTCTGAAGTCTTAGAATCAATTTTATAAAACCTACTTTTAAACTCGACAAGACTATAGCAGAAGTGTAAAGATAATAGGGAATAGCAGAGACGCACGTGGCCCGCCGACAGCAAAAATAATACTCAAATTATTAAATACTTTTTCAATTTTAATTTATTTTTATGAATTCTTTATTGTCTTTAATTACCTGTACTTCTGGCCCGCCAGTTCATGATTGGCCCAAGAGGCCCCCAGTTTTAGTAAGCCTGTGCGTCTGTTTTAAGAGAGGAGATCATAGTTGCATTTCTTTTAGGCAATTAATATTTAGCTATTGGTTGTTTTATTTTATAAAAAGTCTACTAGATAATATATTGCAGCTATATCACGATTAAAACGGCTTCTACTACTTTATTCGAGTAGTATTATAGCTTTTTGAAATAAATAGATTTAACGTGTTACATACAAAATTGTAATTCCGATAAAACTTCCGCCAAGAACTCCGCCTTTTCTCTAGTATCTATGGTTGCGAGAGACCCATTATGATGACCTCTATAATCAGGCAACAAAGATTACTATTTTATTATGAACAGTACAATATATACCTTCCTTTTTTATATGGTATATACAAATAAAAAGAATATAACCCATTTATAAAAATGCTAGAATATTCTTACCGACATAAAATCTTTGCATTTTCCCATTTCGCTGGCAGGTTTTGGACTACATATTCTATACCATTAAAGATATAACTTTCCCAACGGTCGGACGCTGCGTAAGGAACTTAAACGTAAAATAAAACAAACTATTATTTAATACAATAAAAACTTAACCTCCTTGATTGTCAAAAGAGGAATAGTAAAATTGTTTAAAAAAGGAATATTATTCACCTCGATACTGCTCATTGTAACTAGCCAGGCAGGACACAAAAACCATAAACAATATAATCGCTTTTAACATTTTGGCGCGAAACATCCTTCTTCAATCATCTGTACTGTGTAAATGTCCGATTAGAAATCATAGGGCACTATAGTTGTATAACATGGTATTGTTTTAATCAGACTTCTAGAATTATTTTCATAACACTTGTATGAGTATTATAAAGCTATTGTTATGAAAGTGCATAATATAATGAATCATATGAAAAATAAACGTCCGAGGAGAAACCTACAAGGAGTGATTTGTACAGAAATTCATAAAACGTTGTCATCACGGTATCGCGAATTTCTAACTTTTAATTTATTAAAAAAATATGTTAAAATAAAACGGCTTTAATTGAATAAATTAAGGTTTCATTACTACCTATTAATTACTGCGAACAGAGTATACATATATTAAAAAGGAAAGAATCGGAAGAGGCTATAGATTATTTTGCCACTGACAATTTACTTACAAAAGAAGGCGACAATTTTAATTACATTTAATAAAATAATATATACGAGTTGTATAATGCCATCCTTATAGATGTAGTATCTGTAAATGGAACACTCTATGAAGTTTTTTTATGTATATATATCTGTGGTTTTGGATGTCAAATAAAATTAAATGTACACGAAATTAAGTGACTTATTCTAAATACAATAATATAACCTTTTATTTGCAAATTACTAAGTACAAATTATTACCGAAGTATTTATTATTTGTTTTTCCAGAGTTTATATTTTTGTCACAAGAATTATAACAAGACAGCTCGGACCTCGACCAATCGATATTGACAGTGTGTTTAATCAGTGTTTTAACTGTCGTCTACCCTCACTATTCTTGAGGTGTATTTTAATAAAACGTCAAACGCATCGCGGAAGTCTTTGATAGAGATCGTTTACATAATAACGTCACTAAAAGAGGGATTAGACATAATAGCTTCTAAGATAATGACAACAAAGGAGAGCTATTTTTAAACTCCTTACGGCTATAAACTAACAAATTCTTCGGTTGCAAATGAACTTCAATATCCGAAAGATACGAAAGTATTACTTTATTGTGGTCGAATCAAAATTGTTATATACTTTATATAAATATAAATTGTATATCCACCATATCAGTAATTTTTATTTATGAAGAAAATTTCTCTTTAAAGCTTGGACGGGTTTATGCAAGATGAATGAGGCAAGTATGCTTTCTTTTTTGCAAGAAGGACAGCGCTCGTTTGAATATAGAAGTCGTATATAAAATGAAGTTCTGTTAACAGTTTAAAACGTGCAATATATCAGTTAACATATATTTTTTGTCGCAGTTATCATATTTTTTTGGGATGCAGTGTCCCCCAACGTATCCCTCCCGTGAGAATGGCTGCAAAACTTTGAAATCTTCGGGTTAAAATCGGGGTAAGTTCGGGGTAAATGTTCACAATACGCGTAAACTATAGACAATACTAAATTGTATATACTTCTTTACATGTCACGTGTTTAATAACAATTTAAATCTTATTAGGAACTGCACTTATTGCTTCGTATTTATTCTATATAGGTTCCAATAGTTATGCAATGTTAATTATTATATGTATAGCAAATAGTAAAGCATACATATTTATGTTTCTTTCTGTTATATGAATTCTTGTTAACTGTTACCTTATTGCTTACCGCCATCCAATTTACACTGACAGTACAAAGATTAATGACATTTAATATTGGCAACCGCTGCTAGTTACTTTTACATTTTAGTTAACACGCTGCGATTTTGATACAATAAGGCAGAATGCTGTAATGTCTGTAGTTTACGCGAGTAGTATATATTTGAATAAAACACTTTAACGGTTTAAAACGCAATATTATGACATATTTAAAAATTATTTTATTAAAAGAAAACACAGCAGTTAAAATCATTTTCAAATAAGTTTAACTAATATATATCGCGTTTCACATTGTTAAAGTGTATTATTTAAAGGCAGAGGGGTAAATGCATATTTGTTATATACATTTAATTTAATAATTGTTTGCAAGAATTTAACAAGGTTTATATATTCTTCGCGTCGGTCTAATGGTATGTGCCCCGAATTTTGTAAGACAGTTCGGCAATTCGATCCCAGTCTTGCACAAAATTTATTTGTTTACATTCTGACACGTGCTCTCCTATGGAGGAAACATGGTCTCTTAATAAGAGAATACTGGCATGTAATAAAACCTAAAAACGACAACATGCGCCATCTGCCAACACATACATAGCCAGCGTGGAAGATGAGGCCTATTTATTAGAACTATAATGCACTCCGAATAATCTATACTAATATTAAAAGTTTCTTAGTTTGGAAACGCCAATTTCGAAAAATGTTGTGTTGGCTGGTCCATTTATCTAGTAAGGCTATATATATAACACAATGCGATAGTAAAAGAAATTGGAAAATATGAAAAAAAAATACGGTGAAAATTAGTCTTCATTGAAGGCTTCCATTGCGTGCACTGCAAAAACATTCAATGAAAGTAGAATTCCTCTTCAATATATCTAAACATTTCTCCGACATAGGTCTATCTTTTAAGATTAACTCGCAAGAACCGTTTTTATAATAGTCAAATGTTGTCAATATTAATGCCACCATTTTTACCAGAGTGGTATCAACGTAGTAATATAAATCTTGCAAACACAAAACTTTTGCCGGATTAGTCAGAGTAATATAAAATAACCTAATAAAAACTAGTATATAGGTTTATTGTTGTCTATTAAGTAACCATAATAAAAAAATAGTAGTTACTATTAAAGGAACTGCAAGTTGTCAAGAATAGGGGTTGTCCATTAATCACGTGAGGCTTGAAAAGGGGGGGGGGTTGATAAAAATCACGATAATAACACAAGGGGGAAGGGGGGTTATAGTAAGATATCTCGTGTATTTATTTTTTCGTCAATCGCGCGTTTTTTTAAACAAATGGTGTTGACATTTTTATTATGGTCCTTAATTTCAGAGTAAAATAAGATTATAGTTTATACCTGTATTTATATTAAGATAATATTCAGAAAATTTTAAGATTCTTTGTAGGTACTAAAAATACACGTGATGTTTAGAAGGGGGAGGGGGGTGGTCTTAAACCTCACTACGTATCACCAATGGGGGAGGGGGGGGTTTAAAAATTCTAAAAAAAGGTCACGTGATTAATGGACAACCCCATACTTAGTATCCGAAGGCAAAACAGATCGACATTGCTATTAGATGCTATAGGCTGGGGCTTTTACTACCAAAGAAGTCATTAAAACTTTCGCATTTATAATATTACTGACTTTTTCAGCAATGACAATTATTAAATGAAATAAATATATTCTCTAACAAATTAGCAAGTGGTAATCTCAATAGTGCAGTGGAGTGTAGAGCGGGTCGTCATCAACAAGCCGTACGTGCGATCTTAAGGCTTAATTACAAAAACCAAACCCGCGCGTTATGCGTTCGCGATACGGGGACAGAGGTTTCGAGGAGTCGCAATCATTATTTATACTATTTTTTTTTATTATAGACAGGCCTACAGCATCTAAGCAAGATGCACTGTCGACTTATTTGTGCTTTGGCTATTCGGATCTCCAATTGAGCTTCACGGCGTGGACGGTGGTTCGTGACCAGGACGGAAATTCGATATTCCTACAAGCCATTTAATCAGATTAAAAGACGAAGTCCAACGTGTTTCAGAAAAAATATGAATTTATTAGAAAAATGTTGGACCAGGTGGGGGACCCACGACCCGTTGATTACCGTACGTTGCGACCATTACGTAAACGAGCCCGGATAAGTTACGCATTTTTCATTTATTTTAACGTCCCGCTGTGACCACGTGCAACTCATATTGATTATTTCACATAAAACACTTTTAACGGGTTTTAGCGTTTGTAATGATAGGAATATGTCATGGGACTCCAAACTAGGGCCACTGTTCTTCTAATTGATTACATTGCTTAATTTTTAAAAGAAGTAAATGGCGTTATAAACTATTAATTAGTATTACTAATAGACTATTATTGTTTTACGTAATACTATAGACGAATATATTTTTGCACCCGTTTCTTAGATTGATTCTCTTTAAAGTTTCTGCAGTTTAAGGTGACGAGTTTTATTGGATACACGAAATTTCAAGAATCAAAATTTCACAAATAACAAATCACATTATATTATCGATGTTCCTTTTTATTTCTAAAACCAAAGCGATAGTATGTTATTTCAAAGAAGTTTTTGTAACTTTTGTAACAGTTGCAATAACAAAAAAAAATCTGTTGACCTATTATTTAAAAAATAACCGCGACTCCACGTATTTCGCACAGCCCCGCCCACCTGTTAAAATCTCAACAGGTGCCACAATAAATAGAGCCGCGTACACACAGCGTGCTCACTCTGTATTCAGCTACTCTGTGGTCGTGAGACTAGATTGCAGGTAAGTTACTTAAAATATATTTTTATTTATGATTCGCTTGACTAGAACCGTCAGTAATAATTTTACGAAGTGTGCTTATAAATTGTTCGTGAATTTTTAATTAATTATTTTGATGCATTGTTAGTAAGCTTTAACTGTTAAATTATACATTATCTGTGGTTTTAGTAACAACTAAATAAAACAATTACTGATGTATATGGGATATAAATAGGGTTTGCTTATAATGTGTTATTTCAACTCGATTTTATTTAAACATTGTTCAGATCTATGTGCTAGCTCGAGCGAAAATATTGTATTAAAATTAGAGAGAATTAAATTTACTTTTAAAGCGCAAAAATCTAAGATAGAATATTA